CTCAGAGAACCAGGAGCTCCAACGTCCAAAGGCAGGAGAGGATGAACATCCCAGTTTAAGAAGACAGGAGAATTTGCCCTTTCTCCCTTTTTTTCTTCTCCCCAAAGCCCCCCAGTACATAGTTGTATATTCTGGTTGTGCTACGTGGGATGTTGCTCAGCATGGCCTAAAGAGCGGTGCCATGTCCGCGCCCAGGATCCGAACCGGCAAAACCCTGGCCGCCAAAGTGGAGTGCGCATACTTAAACCACTCGGCCAGGGGGGCCGGCCCTGCCCTTCCTCCTTTTTGTTGGACCCTAAATGGATTAGATGTTGTCCCGCTAGTTGATGACAGCAGATTTTCTTTACTCAGTCTACTGACTCAAATGCTAATGTCTTCTGGAAACACCCTCACAGACACACCCAGATAGAATGTTTACTGGCTCTCTGGGCACCCCTGAGCCGTCCAGTTGACAGAAAAATTAACCATCACAAGGTTGTTCGTGACATGTGATAGTGCCATATGCTAGATCTCCCATTTTTCATTGAGATATAATTCACATTTCATAAAATTCACCCTTTAAAAGTGAAAAATTCAGTGTTTTTTAGTATATTCACAGTTGTGCAATCATCACCACAATCTAATTTCAGAAGATTTTCATCTACCTAAACTGAAACCGCATACTTATTAGCCAACATCCCCTATTCCCTCCCTCCCCCTAGACCCTGGCAACCACTAATCCACTTTCTATCTCTACATATTTGCCTATTCTAGATATTTCATATAAAGAAATCATACAATATGTGGACTTTTGTGTCTGACTTCTTTCACTTAGCATAATGTTTTCAAGGTTCATCCATGGCATAGAATATATCACTACTTTGTTTCATTTTATGGTTGTGTAAATATTCCATTGTATGGGTAGGAAATATCACCATCTTGTGGCACTTTGAGGTTTTGTCACTTCAAAGTTACCTCATTGACCCAAACCCATGTAGATAAGAAAGGGAGATGGAAGGCCTTGGAGATTCAGACTGAATTTAAAGATCAGCTTGCTAATTCTACATTTGGGTTCATCCTAAGGAAATAGTTATAAATATGTGCAAAGATTTATCTATAAGAATCTTCAATGCAGCAGTGTTCACAATAGCAGAAAATTCAAAATGAATCAAATGTCCAAGAATTAGAAATTGGTTAAATAAAGATGGTACATCCATGGAAGGGGGAATATCATCTAGCCACTAAACATTATGTTTTCAAAGACTATTTAATGATAGGAAAAAAATATCTGTATTGCTAAGTGAAAAAAGCATAGCTTAATTTTTGGAAAATAATACACAGAGAAAAGTGAACGGATATACGCTAAAATTTTAACAATAGTTATAGACTATGAATGACTCTCTGTTTCTCTATTTTCCAACTTTTCTACATTAAATATTAGAAAGTCTTCCCTTGTTTTTTTTCTTTTTTCTTTTACCACTTTTGTAATAAGAAAAGAGACCTGGTAAAATAGATCAGTCTATAGTAGAGTGAATACAAAATGGGCTGCACTTTGCTTGTCTAGCTACAATTTCCCACCAGTTCACTGTTTGGAGATCTCAAGGGTCGGCTTTAGCTCAAGCAGTTACCTGGTCATGTCGGACTTCAGTATTTGGAGATCTCTCCTGGCATCTTTACCAGAAAAAGTCTTCTGCTTCAGAGCTTAGCTTCAACGTACTCCCGTGTACCTGGAACGAAACTAGTCCTGGGAAGGTCTGGAGTCTGTGCATAAAGGAGTGAGGGAGGGAGGAGGTCCTGGAAGCTGGGGATGGGATGGCTAATCAAAAGAAGCTGCTACTTCAGGACCAGCGGGTGATGTGGTCTCGGGGCATGAGGTCTTCTCCAGCTGGTACACCCACCTCCCCTGTCACTTGAGTTCCTTCTCTAGTTCGTGAGTGTTCACTCTTGTGAAATCTCACTTTATAGACTTTAAGGGTGGGGACCTTGGACCAGAGCCTGGATGTAAGGTAAAGCCAACTCCTGCCGCCACCACCCCCTCCGCAGGAGGAAAGAGAGGCAGGTGACTATTTCCGCTTTCTCCCCAGGGCAGTAGTAGACTCTCGCCACTATAAGAGGCTATGACGGTTTCGATTGGCTCTTCATGTGGGCCCAGTTGACTGCAACCAATCAGGAAAGAGGCTGTAAGAAACGTTTCTTCTTCCCACTACTTCCACGTCACCATCAGCACGCCCTGGGTAATTGTGTTCTAAATAGAAGGAAGTCTGAAATGCAGAGTACAAAGGGCATGGCACCCAGTCTCCCCTCTGTAACTTGGTTCAAGTGTTTCTCTTGAGTACTAGCAGTGCTAGGACAAAGTTTAAGTTTTACTTCAGGTGTCTCTCTTCTACATCTGCCTTCCAGGCTTAGCTCGAATACCTCCTGCTCCGAGCCATCCCCATCTGGATCCATCCCTTGCTCCTTGGGGCTCCTGTGGCGCTTAGGTGAAGCCCATCGCAGCATCACCACACCCTGCCCGATAATTACCGACATTACCGTAGGTTACCTGGAGCTACAGGCAGCAGAAACCCTGGGATCAAGAGCGTGGGATTCCGAATCAGAGAGACTTGGGTTGAGTCCTGAGTTCCCATCTCTTCCCACCTTTGGGATAATGGCGGGCTACCTTGCCCCTCTGAACTTGGATTTCCCCATCTATTGAAGGTAGATGATAGTGCCAACTTTAGACAGTTCATCAGAGAAGAGGGGTCAAGAAATGGTAGTAGTCATAGTGATTATGGAAGGCAGACACTGTTTTGTTCATGTTTGGCTTCCAACTGTGCCCAATTCAGAGCTTTACAAGTAGGAAGAGCTTGCTAAATATTTAATATTATTGAACAAAGGTTAAAAAAGGTAGTGTACTTTATGAACAGGGTAAGAAGTGATACTTTCACCAAATTGCCTCCCCAAATGGCCCAAGGAATGAAATATTTATAAATGAACAACTGAATAGAAGACCAAAACTTAGGGCTTGTCTATGTTTATCTTTTTTAAAAAAAATTATGGTAAAATACACACAACATAAAACGTATCATTTTAACCATTTTTAAGTGTACAGTTTGTAAGTACATTCACATTGTTGTGCCACCATCACCACTAGGGCTTGTCTTTCTTAAACACAGAAGTTCTCTGGATAATGCCCAGGATAAGGAAACGGCACTTCAATACATCTGTTAATAAAGCATCATAAATCTTACTTTTTTTCAGAGATAAAGCATCTTTCTAAGGTTCTGTGCTTCTTCCCAGAGCTCTGCACATTTGAGTTAGCTGAATTATAGTGTAGTGACTCAGAGCCAAACTTGCTGGTTTAAAGCCTTGCTTTCCCACTAGTCACTGTGTGACCTTAGACCAACTACTGATACTGAACCTGAAGTGAGTTCGCTCACCTGTTGCACAGCAAGCCAATCTCTGACACCGTGTGTGGTGGAAGAAAGTAGGAATTTTATTTTTGCACAGCGCTGAGCAAGGAGAGAGGGCAGCTAACGTTGAAATCCCAAGCTCCCCGAAAAGCTAAAAGGAAGCATTTTTATTTGGGGTTTTAGGTAGGGGAGGGGGACCATATGGCCTTGTTTGAGGGAGCTTTCCCACCAGCCTGTCTTTGGCCTTGAGACACTTGCAGAGAGGAGGGAGCTCGTGACCTTGCTGGTCAGCAGCTTTCCCACCAGCCTGGATCTCTTTGCAGGGAGGAGATAGTGAATCCAGGTGCTTGTCCTTGACATGTCTGTCTCCATGGAGGATAGTGGATTCTGGAGCCAGGAAGCCAGAGAATAAGCAGGGAATGAGTGTTTTGGTTTTAACCCCATATATGCTGGGTTTAATGTAGCAAAACTGATATCAGGGTCGATATCACTATGACCTTTCTGTGTCTTAGTTTTCACAGCTTAAAAGAGGTGTCATAGTAAAAGTATTTATCTTAGAGACTTGGGATAATTCAATGGGTAAATCGTGCCTGGCACATGGTAGTTGTGAAATAAGTATTGTCTTTTTTAGGTATTGTTTAGTTAGGTATTGTGGGGTTTTTTGTTTTTTTGTAGTTTTCTTTTTTTTCCTGCAGAAGATTTGCCCTGAGTTAACATCTGTTGTCAGTATTCCTCTATTTTGTGTGTGAGTCACTGCCACAGCATGGCCACAAGTGGTGTAAGTCCACGCCCGGAAAACCAACCCAGGCTGCCAAAGAGGAGTGTGCTGAACTTAACCAGTAGGCCATGGGGGTGGCCCCCTAGGTATTGTTTTTATTATTAGAAATCATGTCTTCAAAGTCTCTTTCCTGTGCTGTGAGGGCAGACACATCATCAGTTTTGTCTACTGTTGATAGAGTTCCTGTCAAATATCTCCAAATGGCCTTATAGTTCCACTCCCCTTCCCTTTTGTTTTAATATGTAATTTCTTGTTTTCGTTTTTCTTCTTTTTTTCTTCTCCCCAAACCGCCGCCTAGTATGTAGTTGTATATTCCAGTTGTGAGTGCCTCTGGTTGTGCCATGTGGGACGCTGCCTTAGCATGGCCTGATGAGCGGTGCCATGTCCGTGCCCAGGGTCTGACCCAGTGAACCCTGGGCCGCTGAAGCAGAGCACGTGAACTTAACTACTGGCCACAGGGCCCGGCCCTCCCCCTCCCTTTTTTGCCTTTAAAATTTTTTTTGTTGATTTGCACATGGACTTATTTGAGAAAAGGTTAAGATGGCTGACCCCTATTTCATGAGCTTTTGGAGTTTTATTTTAAAGGTTAAGTGAGCTTGGGGCAGGAGATGCTTAGGAAAAATCAACGCTTTCCTTCCTGGCTCACTGAGGAGCGTAACAAATGGAAGGCTAGAGCGCCTGGTGCTTCCCGGAGTTCTGTGTAGGAGCCCCGGGCTTAACCCGGGAGCTCTCCACTGGGAAAGATGTGAATCTGCCTTTAGGAGACGCTGTTTGTCAGGGTTATCCTAACCCCAAGAAAGGGGAGGGGATAAGGCACAGGAGGCAGCGATGACATCAGCAGGAAGTTAATATCAAATTACTCAGACCTGAAAATCCCGTTTTTACTTGCAGAGCTAGCAACAAGTCTTGAGTTCTCTTCCCGCGCAAATGGGAGTTTCCTTGAGACTTGGAGCACCCAGAAGATTCTGATTTCTTGATTTTCAGGCAATTTCCCTGAGAAACGTTTCCCTCCAGAAGATCGTGGAATTTGATCCGAAGGTAGGTAATTAACACCTCTCCCCAGCCCGGACTCACAAGACAGCCTTCTCCTTGGCTTCAGGGAAGAGAAAGTTGCAAAAACTCTGGTCGGCAGTGGCACCGTTTCTGCCTGGATTGATTAGCGGCGCCAAGGAAAATGAACGTTTAAAAAGCCCCGGGAAGGCTCCAGCAGAGGCTCTTAGCCGCAGAAATATGCTAGTCCACAAACGGGCACGAAGTCTGGCAGACTCGCCCGAGTTAGAGATTAGAATCTTTAGGGAATTGCAAGGGAAATGTGCGATGCATGAGAAAAAGTATGTGTTTCCAAAAACCAATCATTTGGTTTCTACTGTCACCGGGCGGCAACCAGAAGGGAGACTCAGGGTGATGAGGTTGAAATGGCACTTTTTGGGTTTCTTTTTTCTAACAATAAAAGTAATATGTGTTTATTGCATAAAATTTGAGAAACTCAAACAGGATCCCAGAAGAAAATTTATATTATCTATGAATATACCACCTACACAGAACCACTCTTTGTTGTTGATGTTTTGTCTTTTCGCCATGTTCTCCTTCCTTTAGAAAGTAGTTTCTTGACTCTAAAGAACCAAGACTTGTATAGTGAATATATACCTCAAGTCATTATAGAATGAATAATATTACATTGAAAAATTTTATCAATTCATTGCTCCTCTAATTAGAATGAAATTGGGTGTAGAAAATAACATAGTTTATGAACTGGTCAGATGGAAATACCTACTTCGGGACTTTGTGACTTCCTACATTGATCCGAGCAATCCTTATCTAAAACCGTTTCTTTCTGGGGTCTAGGACTACGGCTTCTGTTTCTGTGAGGTAACAGCCTGCCCCGTTATGGTTAGCAGTGTTACCTTGTTGCCCTTGGGTTGGTAGACACTTCGGAAATATAAACCCCCAGATTGCTCTATTTCTAAAACGTAAGGCATAAATCTAAGTGCTATTTCTGCCGTTTGGTGGGAATGAATTAAGAACTCCAACTGGGAGAAATTGTGCTGTGTCACGCTCCCTTTTGACTAGCTCCCACGGGGGACATTTTGATTTGAGAGAAATCAGGTAAATTGAGTTCCATAAGCTCCAGACCTCCTAAAGGTTTAATTTACAAGTATTGGGGTTGAGTTTTCTGGGCTGTTGAAGTAACCTCACAGTAATTATTATTTTTCAGCTCTTCTGGGAAAGTCTAATGCCTGGAACAGAAGGGGCCTGAACCAGGGGAGGGTCTGTGAAGCTGGGGTGCTGTGTGTCCTTGTCTCTAACGCCCCAGCTGTCTGTCTCCCGCAGGCTGGCCATGACATCTCAAGGTCAAAACCTGAATTCCAGTTCGGATGATAACTGTACAATGGACTTTCGCCAGAAGCTTCTGTTTATTGATTCTCACCTGGGGGACCAAGACGTGGAACGCCTGAGGTTTCTCTGCCGAGATTGCGTCTCCCACAAGAAGCTGGAGAAGTCCAGCTCAGCCTTGGAAATTTTTAACCATCTCTTGGCAGAGGATCTGCTGAGGGAGGAAGACAGCTTCTTCCTGGCGGAACTCCTGTACATCATCAAGCAGAAGTCGCTGCTGTGCCACCTCTGCTACACCAAAGAGCAGGTGGAGAGCTTGCTGCCCGCCCGAAGGAGGGTCTCTCTGTTCAGGTGAGGGGGCTTCTGCGGTCCGGATAGGAGGGTTTTCCATTGAGTGTTCATTCAGGTCTTGAGCTTTGGAAGGAGGCTGGCATTAGGATCTTTTTCTTCTCTGCCTCCTTGGATGATGCAGTGATTCTAAAGCAGGAGTTCTCAGCTTTAGGTGCTAATGAGATGAGAGGGTTGGGAGATCAGCAGAGCTTCAAAACCCAGCTCTGGGCCTGGTGGCTTCCCTCTGTTTCGTTTCTTGCTGCCTGAGGCAGCCCACAGGGCTGCGGTCTCCTCCTTCCCGGCCTCCACGCTGCCAGACGGTCCTTCCTCCTGTGAGTCACTGCATGTCCACCCATATCCACCGACTTGAGAAGAGAGTCATGCATAATTGGAGGCAAATAAGTAAAATGAAAAAGGAGATGTGTCTCTGGGGCAGGGAGGGACGTTACTTATGCCATGTCCAGTTACATTTTGGGGCGAAATCCAGAGAAGGAAAATATAGGCATTTTGCCGAAGAGGTAAAATATAGGCATCAGGCCTATCATGGGTTGGACCTTAGACAACACTGTCTTAAATTGTCCACTGACTTAGTATCTACTGCATCAGAGAGGCTCACGGGGAGGAGGCTTCCTGTGTTATTTTATGGCCTGTGCGATGGGAGCCCTTCAGGCCGCAGTGCTCAAACTGGCTCTCAGAGCCTGAGCTACCTTTGGTCAGTGAGGGAATTCTGGAAATCAGCATCCCCACTCTGCTGGTTAAACACCTGAGGAATACTCTCTGGTGTGCAGAGGTGTTGGTGTATGATGAAATACTCCGTTTTTCTGGTTGCTGATTATGTGACTATCTAGAAGTTGGGGGGTTTCCTTCCTTTTCGACAGTGGACCTTATGTTGACTGGCACCAGGTTCTCTGACAAGGGCCTATAAAGTGAGCCTGAATTTCTAGAATGGAGTTGGGAGATGGGAGGGCATGCCAAAATCGTGTTTTACGCCTTCCTGGTGTGATGCAGAGCAGCACTGGACTTGGGGTCAGAAGGCCTGCCCTACTCTTGTGTTATCTTAATTTAACAGGACATGTCGAAGCTCAACGTTTTAGTTTTTGAATCTATAAAATGGGATTAACAGTTATCACTTTATCGGGTTGTGCTCATTCCAGTGAGAGAGAACGTTTGTGAAAGCACTCGATTTTCTGTGCCGTCCCCTGCAAGTGCGAGGCTTCATTTCTTTCTATGTGTGTATGTCCTAGAAACCTGCTCTATGAGCTGTCAGAAGGCATGGACTCAGACAACTTAAACAGCATGATGTTCCTTCTGAAGGATTCGATTCCGAAAACCCAGATGGTGAGTGGGTCATATAGAATGGCGTCTTTGTGAACGTTTAATCGGTGTTTGGGAAGATGCTGGAAAAGGTTTTAGGAGGGTTTAGACAGTATTTTACAATGGTTAGGAACATCGGCTTTGGTGTCGATGGGCCTGGGTTCTGTGACTACCTCCTCAGTGTGGGGCAAGGGATTAAATATTTCTGAGTGTCCACTTTCTCTTATGTCATTTTGTGGACAATCATACTACTTCCTCCCAGGACTGTTGGGAAGATTAGATGAAAGAATGGACACAAAGCATTAGTCCAGGGCCTGTATTTGGCACACAGTAGCCATGCAGTGAATGATTAAGTGATATGGGCATCCACTGTTTTACGATATAGAACTGTGCAGGCACAACAAGGAAACAGGGAGCTGGTGAATGACAGCAGAGTGAATTTGTTGTTCATCATCTACATTAGTTGGGTTCTGACGAAGCCATGCGCCCTTTTCAGTGGACTTGGCAGTGTCTCCCACGTGGGGCTTCTGTGAAAATCAAACAAGACAAATATTTGAGGATGTGCTTTGTAAAGGGCTGCAAGGTGCCTTGAGCTAATAGTACTGTTTTTAATATGAATACAATGCTATCTGCTGATATTCTTGCTATATTGGTCACATTTAAGGGCAAGAAAGTAGCTGCATGTCTCTCTTCCGGACCTTAAAACTTTACATTTTTTTCTTTTGATGCTAGCAACAGCTTGTGACATGCAAGTTAGTTAATTTGGGAAGGGGCCAATTTTCAAATTTTACCCTATAACGTTACTTTATAATATTCAACTGCTATTTTTATTTTTATTTTTATTTATTTTTTTTTTTTTAAAGATTTTATTTTTTCCTTTTTCTCCCCAAAGCCCCCCCGGTACATAGTTGTGTATTCTTCGTTGTGGGTTCTTCTAGTTGTGGCATGTGGGACGCTGCCTCAGCGTGGTCTGATGAGCAGTGCCATGTCCGTGCCCAGGATTCGAACTAACGAAACACTGGGCCGCCTGCAGCGGAGCGCGCGAACTTAACCACTCGGCCACGGGGCCAGCCCCTCAACTGCTATTTTTATTAGTTTTAAGTTACATAATGTTTGATAACACACAAAAGATACATGTAACGTGTATGCAAGTTATGAAATGTAGCACTCAGTGAACAGCCGTGAATCCCCATCCAACGTGTGAACGAGAACATCACCAACGCTGCTGAGCCTGCATGTGTGGATCCCATTCTTGTATCCCATTCTCCGCAGAGCAACTGATAGTATTGACAAATACCTTTTCTTTGAAAAGTCACTGAAGAGTGGGAAGCTATTTTACATATGCTAGGTCAAATGAGGACAATGTTAGTAATTCATTAAGCATGTTTCCTGGTGTAAGACCTGTAGACCTGAGCAAATTAATTCTCTGTTTTGGCCACAATCTTTCGGTCTTTTTTTTCCCTTTTCAGAGTCCTCAGGTATTTTAGCCTCTTGCATTCTTTGATTGGTCATCTCTTGAGGGTCCTTTCTCCCAAAGATTGGTTGTGAGTCCCTTGGGGATGGGGGCTGAGTCTTACACACCATTATAGCTCTAGAACCTTGCAGAGTCTGTTACAAAATGGTGCTCTAAATGAAAGCGTGAATGAATGGGATGATACAATTTTCCCCTTTCTCTTTCCTTCTGAGAAAACAGCCTGAACTTGTTCTGTTTATGTGACTTTGCATGAAAAACAGGGAGGATTAGCAGGATGAAGTAAACCACCATGATGGGGAGGTGCAAAGATACACTTAACACATTCTCATAGTTGTTGCCCCTTGTCAGACTCTATTAATTTTCTGCCTTACATAGTCCCTAGAAGTTCTGATATCATCCTGGTTTTGTTTCTTATATTTTTCCTTTTTATCTTTTTATTCTTAAAAACAACAAAAAAATGCGAGTGCAGAAAATTACACAAAACAAACATACAGCTTATAAGGCTAATACCCTTGAAACCACCACCCAGATCAAGAACTTGAATTTTGCTAGCTGCTCCGGAAACCCCTCCACCTGCCCCCTCCCACCCCCGAGAAGTAACCACTGTCCTGGCTTTTATAGGAACCATGTTCTTAAGTTCTGTATGGTTTTCTCACTTACCTGTGCATATCTAGACCTCAATTTAGTCTTGATTGTTTTTTTCTTTTCTTTCTTTTAATCTATAGGTTAAACTCCCCTCCCCTCAACCCCTTTCTTTTTCTTCTCCTGTTGACAAACCCCAGGACAGTAGGCCCATAGAATTTCCCCCAGTCTAGGCTTTGCTTATGGCTTGTGCTTGGTGCAGTTCAGTGGGCTCCTCCGTCTTCTGTGTTTCCTGCAGATTGGCAGCTGGATTCAGAGGGTTTGTCAGACTCAGGCTACATCCTTTTGGCCAAACTAAAGCTGGTCTTGTGTTCTTTCATCAGGAGGTACACAAGGCCTGGTCTTCTCCCTTTTTTGATGTTAGCAACTGTTGATGTTGAACATTTTTATGTATTGATTCTTTGGGGGTTGCGAAATGGAGATATTAAAATTCTATCATTTTGGGGGCTGGCCCAGTGGCGCAGTGGTTAAGTGCACACGTTCCGCTTCGGCGGCCCGGGGTTCGCCGGTTCGGATCCCAGGTGGGGACATGGCACCACTTGGCAAGCCATGCTGTGGCAGGCATCCCACATATAAAGCAGAGGAAGATGGGCACGGATGTTAGCTCAGGGCCAGTCTTCCTCAACAAAAAGAGGAGGATTGGAGGCAGATGTTAACTCAGGGCTAGTCTTCCTCAAAAGAAAAAAGAAAGAAAGAAAAAAATTCTATCATTTTGTTTTCTCCACCTCTACTATTTGGTTACTCGATGATAGTTTATGTATGAATCCTTGATACCTTCTTCCATTTACCCAGTGTTCAAGACAGTTGACTGGTTTCCTGTCACTCTCTGAAAGTGACCCATTATAAAAAATATATAAATTTGGACTCATGGATTTAAACCTATTTGATGGGTTTCAATCCATTGCAGTTATTATCTTTATTGAAGTTCAAATTGTCCCATTTTTGCACAGGGGTAGCCTCTTCAAGTTGGTTCCTGAGTCATTTTGACGTTACCCTCACAGCCTTGGATAGCTTCCTTGGTATGACAAGATGTCTCAGGTTCATCTTGTACATTTTCTGCCCAGACCTAGAAGCCATCATTTTTCCTGGTTTCTTTTTATGAGAAATGTTATTTCAAGACTACAGAGTAGATGCTGGAGATGATCATTGTTTTTGGGTTGATGATTGCTTCTAGGTTTTTTTCAAAGGATAGTGCTAGGAAATGTGTACTTGTGTGTGTGTCTATTTTTTTAGTTTGTTTTAATATAAAATAATTCATGAATTTATACCACTATTTTCAAGTCAAATTCATGGTTTTAATTAATCTCTTCTATATTATATCTGTATCTTCTTTTTCCCATCCTGGGAATCCTGGTTCTCGTGTCATAGGAGATGATAGAATTAAATACATGATGATTTCTTTTATCCCACATTATACATACAACACTCCCAGAATATCAGTATTAATACTTCTACCACCAATATGATTATTCACAACAGTTGAGATGTTTATTTTGTGTGTGCTGTACCCATTCTCTCCCCATTTGTTTTTAGGGTTGAAATATATCTACATTGTCAGAGTATATAGCTACTATATACTACACTCTCTCTCTTTTAAAATATTTATTTGTTTTATTCTTACAGTCTCTCTGTTTTAATCCTCATTTAGTCCTCTTTATACAAGTAAATATATATGCATGTGTGTATATATATATATTACATATATATGTATATAATAAAATGTGTGTGTATATATGTTATACACATGTAAGTGTAATGTATATATACACACACATATATCCTAAGGGTCCATGAAGTTCTTGGAGAATCAAAAAGCCAGGAGGTTTGGTTTTAGAGAATATCTTTTCCATGTGCTTGTGTTTGTGTTGGTCCGAAGTGGTTACCCAGTCAAGTGACAGCATTTTACCTTACGTGCAAAATTTCTCAACATTCGAGGAGATTCCTAAAGCTTGAAAAGCTCTCCAGTTATTCTGACAATACTCTCTCCCAACTTTGGGCATGCTTTCACAGTTGTCCAGTCTCGGGGTTTATCAATAAAATGAGACCACTTTCTGTGGCTGCACCTCTCCATCCGTCAGGGTGGAAGCCTTTACCCGCTGCGATGGGGTGGCGGATGCCGAGCAGGGTATTTGTTAAAGGAGTCCGTGGTTTCCTGCTCAGAAATGCTGGGGAATGTACTTCTCCCTCTGCTGTTTCCACGGGACCTGGAACTCTGCTTCAAGGTGGGTGTGGCTGCAGAAATATGTTTATGGTCAGGACCATTCGAAACACTTCTCTCCCTGCTAAATTAGCTTTCGGATCATCGAAGGCCCATGCTCAAGTGGCCAAATGATTTTATGTTTTTCTCACTTGGTGCAACAGTAAAAGAAGTCACTGTGTTTAGTTGTGGCATAGAACTGTGGAATTACCTGGTCAAATTCTGGAAAACTGCACTCCCTTCTTGGATTCCAAATGATCTCTGCTTCATTCCGAAGGAGATCTAATTCTTCCCGTCAGAATTGTGGCTGAGTTATCACCTCAGGTAATCCAGAGTGATGTCTACTGGACTTTGCGATCAGGCCAGCCTTCTGAAGTGTGTAAAGGACGATCTCTAAGCACCCTGCATGCGTTTCCGTGCCAGGGCTTAGTGAGGCTGCCTTAACTGCAATTGCAATCCCAGAAGGTTTTATCACAGAAATAAATTCTTTACCAGCCAGTGGAGGAGAGCCTGAACCCTCCTCAGCCGGAAAGGAAGGGTTCTAACTTCACGTGGTTTCTCTAAAGGGACAATGATGACTGCCGTGGCGAGTTCTAGGTTTCCTGTTTGATAGCTTTCATACAAACTTACAGCAGCGTAGCCGCCTTCACACTTATGGACAGACCTAAACAACCGTCAGGAAATCTGTTCTCAGAACCTTGATGCAAAGGAAACCACACCCAAATCGACTAGCTTTGGAGCAAAGAAGCAGAGCAAAAGAGCTTTCAGACTCCTCCTGCCGATATCTGCCAGGGTGGTGTTCTTAAACTCAAGCAGCGTATACGCTCTGTTTAAATCGTGTGTTACTCAGCATCTAATAAACTTCCTATGAAGTATAATGGATTTCCATCCTCGCTTCCAGAATCATGTCTTAGCTCCTCTTCTTCCTCCTGGTAGGTGGCTGTCAAGATAGGAGTTTCTGTTTTGAGGTTCAGAGAGCTCATTTGCATATAACCTATTACTATGTTTGCATACAACCTTGTGGGGGTTAAATGCAAGCATAGTTGAAGCTACCTCCTTTGCCAGCTGGTCAGCTTCGGATGAGTCATCCCTCACCCCCTCCTGCCTTCTACTTTGTTCCCTGGCCGAGTCGGTGTACGGCAGCTGCAGCTGGGGGCACACATGTTTCTTTGCCTTTTTGGTTCTCCTAGCTGTCTCTGGAATTTCCTGAAAATTTATAATCTTTTTTGATTAGATGAGGACAGAAATCAGTTAAGGCTTTGTAACTCTGGCCTTTCCTTTGGTTGTTAGCATTCTGAGTGCCTTGTTTGGAGACACACACACACACACACACTCTCTCTCTCTCTCTCTCATCATTCCTTTCTCATCCTTGTATTACTGCGCTCTCTTCCTCCTTCCCTTTACTGCCAAACTTCTTGAAAGAATAGTCTACACACACACACCTTCCACCAACTCTACCCTTAGTCATGTTCTAGTGCATTCCAATATGGCTTCAGCCTCCATCACTCCAGTGAAACTATTCTTGCTGAAGCCACCATGAATTTCCTCATAACCAGATTTTTAGTTTCTCATCGTTTTTCCTATATGATTTTCTTTGCTCGGGATGTCCTTTTCTCTGTTGGCAGTGAAGGCCTAGTCATCCCCTGAGACACCATTCAAATATCACCTGCCATGTGCAGCTTGTGAGAACCCTGCTCTGTGGAATAGACAAATGATGAATCAATGAGCACTGTCAACATTTGAACTCACCTCTGCATCTTCCTTCATTTCTTCACCCACTTCCAGTGGATCTCTGAACTTGCCAAATTATACTTCGGAAATGTCTCTCAGATCCAGTGCCGCCTCTGCATTTCCACCACTAGCTTTAGACCAGGTCTAGTTGATTTCTTCGCCAGAGTATTTAATCTTCCTGCCAATATTTTCTCTCTAATGCACTCCTCCTTTAACATATCCCCAAAACTTCTATTTAAAAACAGATCTGTTCATGTCACTGTTCTCCTTAAAAATTACTACTGGCATCTTGATCCATGGACCACTTGCCCAGGCTCCTCACGGTGTGCCCGCACAGCCTGATACCAGCCTTCTGCTCCAGCCGTGACCCAGCTTTCACTCGTAGCTTGTACTCAGGCCTATTTCTCACTCTTCCAGAACACACTGTCCGTTTTCAGCTGTTTAGCATCCCTGGTGGCTTCTCTCCGGTCCCCATGCTGCCCATCTGGCTGGTTCTGTGTGCAGTTAGATGCTGTTCCGATATCCACTTTCTGATTAGCTACTCTTTTCTATTTGTACATAGTTTTTATAACCAGATTAATACATTGATTGAGAAGCCTTTATCACTGAAAAGATTATGGTGCCTTCCACCCCATATGTAATTCAGTATTAAAATAATACTAGCCAATTTGCAATCTTTCCCGAGAGTACTTAAGAATTTTTGTCTTTTAAAATAGCAAATATAAAATTCTTTTAAAACATTCTCCCCTCACTTCTTTGGTGCCCCTATTTGGCTGCTTCCCTAATCCGTTATATCATTTATAGCTGTGAGTTAGAGGCAGCATAGCTCAGTGGTCAATAAAACTGCCAGAGTTCAAATACAAGCTCTGCTACTTATTGGCTCTGTGGCCTCGGACAAGTTACTGAACCTCTCTGTGCCTCCGTTATTTCATCTTTAAAATGGAGATTATGATAGTATCTACCTCAGTGGGGACAGACACACTCACTACCTTATTCATCACTGCAAAGCCCGGTGCCATGCATGGAATGTTGAACGAGCGAAGGGATAATCGTAGGCGTGGAAACGTGACTCCATTGATTCTCTTGCAGACTTCTCTAAGTCTCCTGGCACACCTGGAGAAACAAGCTCGAATAGATGAAGACAATCTGACGTTGCTGGAGATGCTCTGCAAAAACGTCGTGCCTAACCTTATGAGGAAGATAGAGAAATACAAAAGAGAGAAAGGTAACGAGCTTATGCTTGCTGGCTTGCACCAGACCATGGGACTTCTTAAACCAGTTGGCCATGCACAATGTCACTCATCACTCGGAGAGTATTCTCTTTCCCCATTGGTTCCCGCCACACACATTGACTGAACGCATACTGTGCAGGAGGCACAGTTAGAAGTTGGAGATACCGCAGGTTACAGACCAAGGCTCCTGCCCTCTGGAAGCTCACATTCCAGCAGCGGAAAGCTGTTTTAGACAAATGTCTTCTTCTGATTCTTATTTGGGAGTGAGAGTACTGTAGGGGAAATCGTTTTGAAGGAGATAACGTAAAAATGAAGGCGGCAGAATGGCCTGGAGGGTAAGAGTGGGGTCTTAGAGTCAGGTGGCCAGGACTTCCTTCCTTAGCCCTTTAGGTCCCACTTTCCCCATCTGCAAAGTGGGGATAGCAGCAGTACCCATCTCGTGGGTTCTTTGAGGATAGAATGAATGAGGTAATTCCTACAAAATGCGGGTCTGGCACAGAGTAAGCATTCAATACGTGTTGCTGGCAATGTGTTTTTTAGAGAAAAAAGTCATGAAAACTTTCATATCCTCATAAACTACTATCAGAGAAGAATTTTATTTTCTTTGTTTTTTTTTTGAGTCTTTCTTATAAAGGTGGTACTGCTGTGGCATTACATAGAGGTAGTAGTGCTGTGGAATTACACAGAGGTAGTGGTGCTGTGGAATACACAGAGGTAGTAGTGCTGTGGAATTACACAGAGGTAGTGGTGCTGTGGAATACACAGAGGTAGTGGTGCTGTGGAATTACACAGAGGTAGTAGTGCTGTGGAATACACAGAGGTAGTGGTGCTGTGGAATTACACAGAGGTAGTGGTGCTGTGGAATACACAGAGGTAGTACTGCTGTGGAATTACACAGAGGTAGTAGTGCTGTGGAATACACAGAAGTAGTGGTGCTGTGGAATTACACAGAGGTAGTGGTGCTGTGGAATACACAGAGGTAGTGGTGCTGTGGAATTACACAGAGGTAGTGGTGCTGTGGAATACACAGAGGTAGTGGTGCTGTGGAATTACACAGAGGTAGTACTGCTGTGGCATTACATAGAGGTAGTAGTGCTGTGGAATTACACAGAGGTAGTGGTGCTGTGGAATACACAGAGGTAGTAGTGCTGTGGAATTACACAGAGGTAGTGGTGCTGTGGAATACACAGAGGTAGTGGTGCTGTGGAATTACACAGAGGTAGTAGTGCTGTGGAATACACAGAGGTAGTGGTGCTGTGGAATTACACAGAGGTAGTGATGCTGTGGAATACACAGAGGTAGTGGTGCTGTGGAATTACACAGAGGTAGTGGTGCTGTGGAATACACAGAGGTAGTGGTGCTGTGGAATTACACAGAGGTAGTAGTGCTGTGGAATTACATAGAGGTAGTACTGCTGTGGTATTATATAGAGGTGGTAACACAGGGCAGAAAGTAAACCTGACTGCCTCCCTTTCTGTCAATATGCTAAATATTTGTGCTTTTTCTGAGTCCATTTCTCTGCTGTTAAACAAGAGCTATAAATAAAAACTCATGAGGGGCCAGCCTGGTAGCACAGCGGTTAAGTGCGCACGTTCTGCTTCGGTGGCCCGGGGTTTGCCAGTTCGGATCCTGGGGGCGGACATGGCACCACTTGGCACGCCATGCTGTGGTAGGCGTCCCACATATAAAGTAGAGGAAGATGGGCACACATGTTAGCTCAGAGCCGGTCTTCCTCAGCAAAAAGAGGAGGATTGATAGCAGATGTTAGCTCAGAGCTAATCTTCCTTAAAAAAAAAACAACTCATGAGTATTTTCATGAAGCTTTTATGCCACACCCATATTTTAATTCAGGGAGTCAATCTAGTGTGCAAACTTCTCTGGCTGAAAACGAAACTAACCAAAAGGGAACTTCTCTCTAAGAATTCTATTAACACACAGAACGAGTTGAGGAACAAAATGTACTGTAGTTAAATTGGTAAAATTTCCCACAATAAGGAAAGCAATAAATAAATGCATAATTTAAGTAAAAGTTATGAAGAATAAATATAGTTCTTCTAACTAACAAGTTATCGAGTGAGAAATAAAAAGCAGGAAGTTGATGTTGAAAGTACATTGTTCGGAGTTCAAGTGAGAGCATTCCCAATGAGATTTTTTTCTGATAACGTTGCCATTTCCTGTAATGCAGCACAGCGCACAAAGAGAACACAGGGCAAGTGATCAGAGTGTTGTGGTTATTTGAACTCTGGAGAAGGTACTCTAGTTTTTATGTAGTAAATGCTCCAGTGAGTGTCGAGGACTGAGCTTTGTGTCAGAAGAAGAATTCTAATTTTGATTTTTATTTTCTACAACCTACCTGCTCTGTGATCTCTTTTGGGTGTTGAAGGAAAATACTCTTGTTTTCCTCTACTACTATCTCACCAACCCTTCGGGAACACTTCTGACTCCAGATGTGTGGGTTTTTCTGTACCGAGAAATTCACCAATTCTCTGTGGACACCACCTGGGCACCCTAGGATTTAATTCCTCTCTGACACTAACTAAAGTTAGCACAGACTCTAACTAAATAAGCTTAAGGGCTCAGTTCCCCAAGATTGCCCCCTACTTCAGACGCCAGTCGTAAGTAGTGGGTCCCGAGATTACCCACAGCTTCTGTGTGACTTGGCTACAAACTAGGGGTTCCCACGATCCCCTCCTCAAGTTCGATAATTTGTTAGAATGGCTAACAGAACTCAGGGGAACAATTTACTTACTAGATTATTGGTTTATTATAAAAAGACACAACTCAGGAACAGCCACATGAAGGAGATGCACGGGGCAAAGTTTGAGGGAAGGAGCAAAGAGCTTCCATGCCCTCTCTGAGTGCACCACCCTCCCAGCACCTCCATGTGTTCACCAGCCTGGACACTCTGCGAACCCCTTCAGTTAGGCTTTTTATGGAGGCTTTGCATGCAGCCATGATTGATTAAATCATTGGTCGTTATAATTCATTCAACCTCTAGTTCCTCTCCCCTTCCCAGGGGTTTTGGGGTGGGGCTGAAAGCTCCAACCCTCTGATCACATGGTTGATTCCGCTGACAACCAGCCCCCATCCTGAGGCTATCCAGGAGCCCCCAGCCACCAGTCATCATTAGCATACAAAAGACACTTATCACTTCAGAGGTTCCAAGGGCTTTAGGAACTGTATGCCAGGAAAGGGGGCAGAAATCAAATATATATTTATTATTATATTATAGGTGTTATCGATGCAGATAATCCATCACCAATCTATAAATCAAAATTGGGCTGAGTTTATTATGAGCCAGATCTGAGGACCATACAGCCAAGGACAGTACTTTCACGGAGGAGTGGAGTACTCCCAAGAAGCGGGCTGTGCGGAGTGGTTATGGAGCGTCAAAGAGCATGTGTCACATATGAATGGAACCTCCCTTCTCTGACAGTCATGAGATTGCCTAGCTGGCACAGTGATTCACACAGCAGTTGATGAATACAGCAGGTAGCAGGTCTGTGGTCTGAGCTGGGTGGTCACAGCAGGTCAGCAATCAGTTCCTAGCCTAGGGAGAGATGCATGTCCTTAAGGAAATGCCCATGTGGGGGAAGTTGCATCTTTCTTTACCTTAAAGGTCATTGTTCTTTTCCTTGGGACATAGTAAATACTTAAAGCAGATGTACGATGCGTGCTCATGGCCATGCGAGCCCTTTTCGGAAAAACAAGGTCAGGCCAAATTAGTTTTACACCAAATGGCTTCCTCATATTCCCCAATATATCCTATTGCTTGCCATTTATTTATCAGTGTCAACTAATATTTTAATCTTGATCGGGTCTACAGTCCTAAGAGTTTGGCCTAATTCTGCCATTCAGCGTGAAGGACTGTAGGACTGAGAAGATAAGTGGGTATGCAGATTTTAGACTTTTCTGTAGATGATCCAAAGACAAATGTTTTGTATCTGATGAGGACACAAGCTCTGTTGAAGGACCACCTGGGTCACTTTCCGAGTTTTCTGCTCAGCCTTGGTGTTTGCTTTAGTATTTTAAATTTATTATGAAAAATAATGTACAATAATTACAATAAAATTAAATAAAAATTCAAATAATGAAAACAATACAGACTGTAGAAGATAGAAGTCTCTTCTCCTTCCTCCGCTGCCAGCCCATTCCCCAGAGTTAACCACTGTCGGGAGTATATTTCTGCAGCCCTTTCTATATAGAGACAATTGTGTGTGCATGTGTGCGTGTAGATAGATAGATTAGTATATATTTAACTAAGATCACGCTAATCGTATTCTGTAACTTGCTTTATTCTCACCTAAAACATCTGATATTTTCTCATGTTTATAATACAGATATAGCTCATTCTTATTGATGGTTCCACAGAAATACTTTTTATTACATAACATATATATTTAATCACCTCCTTTGAATGGTTTTTCTTTTTCTTCCTTTCCTTCTTTCTCTTCCTTCCCTCCTTTTTTCTTTTTCTTTTTGCTGTTATAATCTGAGTTCTGGTTTTATTTCTTGAGATAATGCGTTTGTAATCTCTACTTGGCAATTATCTGACAGTTGATCACTGTAAGTTCTAAAATAGTGTTTAATAAATATATAGTAATTTTAAGGAACTAGTAAAATTATAAAAATAATAAAAACAATAAGAAATTAAATATAATAATACAAGGAATAAAATGGAATAATAAATAAAAATAAGTTATAAATTCACGTTTTTTCTGGGTATATATGTAGATCCCTTTAAGCGAACGGCACTACAAATCCACAGGTCCCTGTACAGTGATTTCGTTCGATGTTCGGTTATCTTGGATTGCTATTAGTCAGATTGTGATTTTCGTCTTCCTATCTGTGATTCTATTTCCAGCCGCCCAGGTGGTGACAGCTCCCGTAGACAAGGAAACTGAGTCATTGCATCATGGAGAGGAAGAGCTGTTTTCCCGTTCGGACATTAAAAAGTTTTCCAGAGCCTTACCGGTAGGTTCATTGGTGTGTCAGGAAATGTTTAACTACCAGCTCCACTCTCTACCCTCAACCCCCCCAAAAAAGAAAGAAGGAGAGAGAGAGAGACAGAGAGTCGCCCTGATTTGTAGCGTTTGATGCAAATATTGCCACCATGGCTGATTTCAAGTTACCAACATGACATCAGCTGGATTGCAGAATTTCTGAAAATCTAACAGCTAGCTCTCATTAGCTGGTCTGAGCTGACTCCAGCACACCATTGGGTTGCTTTGAAATGGCTCTCTCTTATCTGTGGGATTCGATTGGACCAGCTCTGTGAACAGTCACACAGGGCTGGCCCATGCTTTTTTAATGCTCAACTGTCACTGTTTTGAAATCCTTAAAACTGTATGAATGAGGAACCTCACATTTTTGTTTTGCACTGGGCCCCACAAATTATGTAGCCTGTCTTTCCCTGTGGTGCCCAGCAATGGAAGGGTGGGTTGAGGGGCAAACACTGGGATAATTTGTGATCTCTTCCTCATAACATGGTCATGATCCTTGGGAGACCGTCAACATTCTTCTCTGAGACTTATGTTTCTTCCCAGCAGCCTTGGGAAGTTCTATTGGCTCGACTTTGGTATTTTTTTTTTAATTGAGGTAAAATACAAATACGTAAAATTTACCATCTCAACCTTTTTTTTTGCTGAGGAAGATTTGCCTTGAGCTAACATCCATTGCGGATCTCCCTCTTTTTCTGCTTGAGGAAGATTGGCCCTGAGCTAACATCTGTGCTAATCTTCCTCTATTTTGTGTGTGGGGCACTGCTACAGCATGGCTGATGAGTGGTATAGGTCCATATCTGGGATCCAAACCCACAAACCCGGGCCACCAAAGCAGAATATGCCAAAGTTTGACCACTATGCCATGGGGCTGGCCCCTTAACCATTTTGAAGTGTATAGTTCAGTACTGCTAAGTATGTTCGTATTGTTATACAACCAACCCCCAGAACTCTCTTTATCCTGCAAAACTGAAATTCTATCCATTAAACAATAACTTCCCATCCCCCTTCCTCTAGCCCTGGAAACCACTATTCTTTCTGTCTTTATGAATTTGACTACTATAGGTACCTCATATAAGTGGAATCATGCAATATTTGTCTCTTTTTTTTAATCCTTGAAACTTATTTTTTATTTACTTCATTTTTTAAATTGAGAAATAACTGATACGTAACATTATATTACTTTCAGATGTACAACATAATGATTGATATTTATAGTATTTGTCTTTGTGACTGACTTATTTCACTTATGTAATGTCCTCAAGGTTCATCCATGTCAGAATTTTCTTCCTTTTTAAGGCTAAATAATATTCCATTGTGTTTTTATACCACATTTTGTTTATTCATTTATCTGTCAGTGAACACTTGGTTGCTTCCACCTTTTGGCTATTGTGAGTAATACTGCTATGAAGATGAGTGTACAAATATTTCTTTGAGACCCTACTTTCAATTCATTTGGGTATATACCCAGAAGCTGGTTCATATAGTAATTCTGCATTTCATTTTTTGAGGAACCAGCATACTGTTTTCCATAGCAGCTGCATCATTTTGCATTTCTACCAACAATGCACAGGCATTCCAGTTTCTCCACATTCTCACCAACACTTGATATTTCCTTTCTTTTTAATAGTAGTCATTCCTGTTTTTTTTTTTTTAGTAGAGGAAGATTAGCCCTGAGCTAACATCCATGCCAATCTTCCCTTATTTTGTATGTGGAATGCCACGACAGCATGGGTTAATGAGCAGTGTGTGGGTCCACAACCAGAATCCAAACCCATGAACCCTGGGCCACGAAAGCAGATTGTGCAAACGTAACCAGTATGCCACTGGTCCACCCTGATAGTAGTCATCCTAATGGGTATGAGGTAGCATCTCATTGTAGTTTTGGTTTGCATTTCCCTAATGATTAGTTGTGTTGAGCATCTTTTCATCTGCTTATTGGCTGTCTGTGTATCTTCTTTGGAGAAATGTCTATTAGAGTCCTTTGCCCATTTTTCAATTGGGTTGTTTGTGGAATTGGGTTGTTTGTTGTGGTTGTTTTTATTTTTTATTCTCAAAAAATTCTTTTATAGCTTCTTTACTACTTTCATGGTACATATTTTTACAGTTAGAATTTTTTATTTTTAAATTTGGAAATAATTTCAATCTTACAGAAAAGTCGAAAATGCAAATAATACAAAGAACACTGTGTGCTGTTCGCCAGGTTCACCTACCTGTTGCTCTTTCACCTGACTTGCTGAATTCTTCGCATGCTCTGTCTTTGTCTATCTATCTGTATACACACACACATGATTTTTTCCTGAACTTTTTGAGAATAACTTGCATACCTCATGGCTCTTTACCCTTAAATACTTCAGTGTGTATTTTCTAAGAATGAGGATATTCTTTCACAGAATTACAGAACATTTAGAAATGCCAGTAAAGTTAAATTAATACAATACTTCATCAGGTTGAAGGTCCATATTTCAATTTTGTCTGTTGACTCAATAATATTCTTTATAGCATTTTTTTCCCCTCCAGAACATAATTCATCTAAGATCATATGTTGTATTTAGGACACTTTTGAAGAATACAGTCACCACCAGCACCCCCACCTTTTATTTAAAAAAAATAGAGTTTTCCTTATTTTTGGTGTGTATGGTGTTGCCTCATGATTAGATTCAAGCTATATATTCTGGCCAGAATATTACATTAATGATATTGTATCTTTCTCAGGGTGTCACATCTGGAGAAACATGTTGTTCATCTGCCCCCAATCGTGATGCTGATTTTGATTATTTAGTCCAGATGTTGTCTGATTTCTTCACTATATAGTTAATCTTTCATAGTTACTGTTTTTTCCCTTGCTACTAAGAAGCAAGTGGTGGGGAGACATTTTTAAGACCATGCAAATGTCCTCCTCCTCATTAATGAGCATCCATTGACTATTGTTGTGTGATTCAATATTTACTATGTTTGTTGAAAAGCAGTGATGTTCAAACTCTAGTGTTCACTCCATATTTTAAGTCAGCATTCTAGCATAAGCAAGAGCCTTCCTTTCTCCCCTGGGAGGTTTTTTTGCCCACTAAACTTAATTCCTCCCCCCACCCACTTTTTCAAGTAGATTTGTGCTCAGAGACTGACATGCATGTAGCACACACACGCAGGACTTGGCTCTTTGCCTCTTGGAAATTCACGAGTTTCTAAGGGGTGGAGCTCAGCCTTGGCGTCTGGAATGTGGCTGTTTTGCTGACATTGGATGATCATGGCCATGATACATAAAGATGAGGGCTACTTGTGGTGGCCGGGATTGCAGGAGGCTATTGGGGGTCAGCACCTCACGTTACACATGTCCTCATAGCCTCTCAGGGTTGGAAGTTGTCGTAAAATTATCTGGGCAGCTCTGCTCTCCATGAAGTGATGGAAAAAGTAAAAGTAAATCACCTCATGTTTCATATGCACCCGAGAGGCTTTGTTATATAAAAGAGCACTGCCAACAATTGGATTTAATGAGAAGAAACTCTCTGTATTTCAAGCAACATCCCTGATTTGTTTAAAAGCTAAATCAATATTTTTTAGTGTGGCATAGGATTTTCTTAAAGAGGCATGCCTCTTGATTGAGGAGCCTTAACAGCAGCTTCTTTTTAAGGCCTTACTGGACCCCTATTGAAAACAGCTGAAAGAAGACTGAGTGTGGCCAGGCAGTGGGTCATTCATTCATTCACTTCCATCTGACACAGAGACTTGAGGGCTGTCAGTACAGGATGCAACATCTGTTACCCAACCAGGCTCCTTCTGCACGCTGCACGATATGCCAATCACCGAGACGAGTTTGCAGCAGAGAAAGGCTTTATTCACAAGCAGCCAAGCGAGGACATGGGAGAACAAGTCTCAAATCTGCCCCCATGAAAATGGGTATTAGGGATATTTATGGGATAGAGAGGCAAGGTGGTCTGAAGTGTGGGGATAGATGATTGGAGGTAAGGAAAAGTGAGGTAATTAATGATCTGTGCAAGCATAGTCAAGCTTCATGGCTCTTCATAGGACACATGTTCACCAAATGGTGGCATTAGCATAATCTAAGGGTGGAGGTTTCGGGCCCCCTGACGTCAAAGGGTCACCTATCGGTGATCCTTGCAGGCCCAGTTGATGAGTTGGTGGTCTTCACCGACCTGAACTGCACAAGGAGTTGACTGTCAGTTCCTGAAAAACTCAAGCATCCGTTACCATGGTGACCCAAGCATCAGAGATGTCATCTATAGGGTGGGTTTTAGTGGTGCCTTATCTAACTACTTCTGCAAACAAACTACCCGCTGAGTGTAGTTAAAACAAGTTGGCCCCCAGTTTCACATGCCCAGAGGAAGAGAGCCAGGCAGACCTTAAAGCTTATTCCTGGTCCCTGTTCTGGCTGATTTTATCAGCACAGGGAGGAGACAAATCCAGGACACCTGGGGCCTGGAGGTGCTGGCAGAGCCCGCTGTATCTGTGATGCCCTTATTTCCAGGAAAATTTGCTCAAATGCTTTCAAAACCAACTAGAAAACTCAGAAAACAGCCTGCCTGGCTCTTGAATGTCGCTAGGAAGGGTTCTAGGATTCTGTAAGAAGGGAAATGTGCCTTGTGAGAAGAAAGGCAGGAAGTCTTTTGGAAAGTGAAACTAAACTTCCTGTGCGTTGGTTCCCTCAGGGCCGGGAATCTGGTATCATGCAGCTTCCATCTGGCTGGAAGATGAGGCACCCTCTGCAGCCAGAAGCCTGGTGGGCTCTAGCAGGGAGGCATCCCCCAGGACTAGGGGGTGGTCACCCCAGACAGGACTCCTGGCCCTGCCCACCACACAGCCGGTGCAGGGTCAGCGCCTCCCCAGAACACCTTGATCACACCCCCTTTGGGGCTTTCTGCTGCAGGCTAGGGGCTGGGAGTGATGGCAGTGGGGTGGATGGGGAAGATGACGCAGAAAAGAAGAGGGCCCTAGACTATGTGTCAACTTTGTACTTAATTATTTACAACATTTGTGTAGCCCCAAAGTAAGAACCATAACTCAAGGACTCAGAGAAGTCTGCAGTGTGTTCCTGCCCCTCTTCCCCTCTCCTACGAGAACCACTTTATTAGTTTTTTAATTTATCCTATCGTTACTTTGGGAAAAAAAACCCTCATCTCTCCCTTTCATTATAAAAGAGGTAGCACCCTAAAATACTAACCATCACCTCACTTCCTTCGGGTAACAGTGTCTCCCGCGGAGTGTACTGAGATTGTCTTCTGCATCCTACGCACTGTGGGGATGCACCACAGATCTTTCAACCAGTCCTTACTTGTAGGCGTGAGGGTTATTTCCAGTTGTTAGTTATTCCAAATAATGCTGCAATAAATGAATATTCCTGTGCATGTGTCAAATCATATTTTTGCCACGATGTCTTCGTGAACCTTCCTGTTCGGAAGGAGGGAGTTGATTCTCTTATCACCTGTGAGGGACCTTTTCTGTGACTGGGGATTAGGTGTCTATCCTTCTCTGCATCCAGTCTGGATTTTCAGCCCTCATCCTAACTGTGTAAATTTCCTGCATTTCCCGTTTCCTGAACAGGAGAGGTGCTGGCCGATGAGCCTGTAGGAGAAATGGCGGGTGTTTCTCGTACGCTTTTTATGGCTTGGATCAGTGTGGCAGGAACAGATATACTTGATACATACCAAGCAGTTCGAGGGGTCTTGGGAGAAGGTTTACAAATTAGTGGAGAATTCACTTCTGATCTGAGTGCAGGGTGAGTCACTGACTGTGTGGATTATACCAGGCTTTTCTGTGGGAGGGTGGAGGGCGCTGGGTGGCAGTGACTTGGAAAGCCCTGCAGAGCAGCGTCTGGGAGTGCAGGCAGCTGCTTTCCCTCCACCCTTCAGAAGGAGATCATGCTCGGTGGGGAGGGAAGGACCCCAGGCCAGCAATGACCAAGCAGAATGCTGAGTCAGAAGGAACATCTGGTGTGGTGTGGCTCCAGATGCTGCTTGTGTGTTTCAGAGGGAGACAGGCCAGAGGGAAGGACTTGGCGATGGTGTGTTTAGTGCCCTGAATCCTTGCCCAGAAGTCACGACCTCAGGAAAATATTCCAGAATCTGCCACTGGGCTAAACTGCTGTTGAACAGACAGGTTTTTGGTGTATTCTCTCTGTGATGTGTGAAGTTCGTCAGAGCCCATCTCTCATTTTTTTCTGGAAACTTAAACTTCAGAATCCAACATGCCCCACTTTCTTAGGAATCTCTCTTTCTGCCTAACTGGGAAGCTGTGTGATCTGATGTTGATGAAAGCTACATTACTGAGCACTGGTCATGCGCTGGGCATGCTCTACGAGCTTTCTAGGCCTTATCTCATTTAATCCTCCAGTCACCTGGAGTGGAGACCACTGCCGTTCTCACCTAATGATGAGGAAACCGAGACCCAAGCGGCCTAGTGTGTTGCTGAAGGTCCCACGGCTCGAAAGGAGTGCAGCTGAGATTTGAGCCCAGCAGTCTGACCCCAGCGCTCACCCTCCAGGCTCTCCATGGTGTAGCTACGGGAGCGCAGGCAATGGTTTCACTTCTCTGAAAAACAAGCAAGTTTCTTTCAGTTTTGCAATTCTGTGGTTTTCAAGTTTAGACATGACTTCTTTCTCCCAAGGTGAGGAGGAATTTGCAGGTGCTCTGTTTGACTGCAGCTTGGGTCCCTTTTGGTCGGTTCCCTAGCTTGGGGGATACTGGACTCCCTCAGCCTGAGCTGAGCACCCAGGACTGCCCTTAACTGTAGCTGATAACTAACTCAGGCCTCAGAGACGAGGGCAGAGCTTGCTGGATTCCACTGAAAGTTTTCCGCATGTGGGAGAGGAAAAGCTCCAAGTTACCTTTTCCTGCTACTGTCATGTGACAAATAACCCATCCTTGGTTTCCCCTCCATCATGGATGCTTATCCAGAGGAACCAGGGGGTTTGCAGCAACGCTTCAAAGCAGTGCTGTCCTCAGCCAACGCTAAAGGCGTGACTGAGTTAATCCCAGGGCTGTGGGGTTTTGTCCTGCCCTGATGAGTCTCTGGACCTTTCTTTTTTCTTTTTTTCCCCTTTCTTTTTGGTGTCTGCCAGCCTCTCTGTATACAGTGACAGACAGATGCTGACTCAACCCAACCAAGTTTTCTACCAGGAACGCTTGAGCCGATTCATGTGATCTTGACTCCAAACCCATCCTCTGTAAGGAAATCTAAGTGTTTAGGGGAAGAGTTTCGAAGAGTCTGAGTACTTCCCTTTCTAGCAGAAGGGCAACCCCGGTCTCCATGGAGATTTGGGAGCATCTGCTGACACTAACTTCTGAGGCCAGCAGGAAGGTTTGCACAGTTTCTTCAGGTCTCTTCCAACGAGAGTCCAGCCCTTAATGACCGTGAGGGCTCAGAGCTGCTTGTCTCTGTCTTGGTTCTTCTTCCTCTTTCTGTGATTCTCTGTCCTTCCCACCTTTCCTAGAACAATCAGAAGTGTGTTGACCTTTGTCTATGGAGGCGATGCTGCTGTCCTTTGTGTCTTGCATACCCTTTGAATTATTTCCAGAGAGGGGAATTTCTTTTTTGTTGACTGAAGCAACTTCTTTTCTGCTTGGATCAAAGACGTACCATATTTTCAGGTGGTCGTTTTAGCCACACATTTTAGCCACACTGAAGCCAACTCAGCTAATTTGTAATCATATGCTGTTTATAATAGCCTTCAAAAATAATTGCACATATTTTAAAATTCCTACTGTGATCTCTACAAAAGAGATTTCTTTGTTTTTGGAAGAAGCAGATCACTCTAAAATCCTACCATCTGACAAACAAAATTACCATCTGAGTTTTTGTCTTGTTAGATCCTTTCCTAGGCTTTCTTCACTTTGCTGATCCAAAAAGGAGGATGCTTTTCCATAAACCCTGGGTTTGCCAAAGTTAAAACACATATTCTGTTATTTAACACTGAGAATTCACATTCTGCAGTCAAACCAGGTGAAGTCTCAATTTTAATCAGGACCTGGCCTTCCACCTTGGAATTAATTGATGAATTCCAGACCAGGACCAGGATCTTGACAACTCTCTGCCTTTGGTACTGATAAATGGAGCGGTTGGTTAGAACATTAACCCCTTACAATGAGGATTCCCTAATAAGTGGTTCTATATCTTCTTCCAAGGAGACACCTCTGTACAGGATGGATCGGACACATAGAGGCCACTGTGTTGTTGTCAACAACCATACCTTTACTTCACTGGCAGACAGACCAGGGACCGATAAAGATGCTGGTAAGAACGTCTGCAATAGTGTATCAAATGCAAGTTGGGGATCTTAAAATCATTTTTTATTTTCACATTTTCTTTCTATAATTTTTACCTTCCATTTAAATATAAGGATGATGTCATAAATGTTTATGCCTCTTGTATACCCCTAGTGTCTTAGTCCACCTGGTCTGTTATAACAAAATACCATAAACTAGATGGCTTATAAAGCTAACCCCGCTGGTCTAGTGGTTAAGGTTCAGTGCGGTCACCCCCTGGCCTGGGTTCATTTCTGGTCAGGGATCCCCACCACCTGGCTGTCAATTGTCACACTGTGGCAGCTGCATGTTGCTATGGTGTTGAAAGTGATGCTACATGTATTTCAGATACCAGCAGGGTCCCCATGGTAGACAGGTTTCAGTGGAGCTTCCAAACTAGACAGACCAGGAAGAAGGACTTGACCACCTACTTCTGAAAAAACTGGCCCTGCAAACCCTGTGACTAGCAGGGAGCACTTCTGATAGAGCGCCAGAAGGGGAGAGGATGGCGCAGAAAGCCCGGGCAGGTTCCGCTCTGCTGTGCACAGGGGCGCTAGGATCGGAATCCACTCAGGGCACTAACAAAGATGGCTTATAAACAACAAACATTCATTTCTCACAGTTCTGGAGACTGGGAAGTCCAAGATCAAGGCTCTGGTGAGAACCTGCTTCCTAGATGGTCGTCTTCTCTCTGTAACCTCACCTGGTGGAAGGGAGAGAGAGCTCTTAGGGGTCTCCTTCTGGCCTCCAACCTTATGACCTAATCACCTCCCTAAGACCCCGCTTTCTAAGACCCTCACCTTGGGGGTTAGGATGTCAACATAGGAATTTGGGGGGAACACAAACATTCAGACCATCGCACTCGGGATGTCACCAGCCTGCTTAGAGAGTGACAGGAGTCCCTGACCATTTATGACTCAGTGGCCTGGGGGCCTACTGGGTCAGCAGAGAAAACCTGGGCTGTGCTCTGGCTCCACCGCTAAGCAGGTTTGCTCTGTTGGGAGAGTCACTGGCCTCAGCTTCCTCATCTGTGAAACAGGATGAAACTCGGACCCGTGCTGACTCTCAGGACCATTGTGATAGCATGTGGGTCCCACAGAAAGGCAGGTTAATTGTAAAATTTTGTTATGAAAGTAAAAAAAAAATCCAAAGCTTCAGGCTATTCACTGTGCAATTTTTATAACTATCAGCACTGTTTCACCCCTTCATTTTATTTCATTTCACTCGATTTCATTCCATTATTTCCCCTTTCTCTCCTTTTCTTACAGAGTGCCTGAAGAGCGTGTTTCAGTGGCTTGGGTTCAGCGTGCATAGATATGATAATGTGACTAAAGAAGGCCTGGAGAAAGTTCTGCAGGAATATAGGAATCATCCAGGCCATGCTAGTGGAGACTGCTTCGTGTTCTGTGTTCTGACCCATGGGAAATTTGGAGCTGTCTACTCTTCAGACGGGATCCTCATTCCCATTCGGGAGATCATGTCTCACTTCACAGCCCAGCGGTGCCCTGCTCTGGCTCACAAACCCAAGCTCTTTTTCATCCAGGCCTGTCAAGGTGAAGAGGTGCAACCTTCCGTATCCATTGAAGCAGATGCTGTAAATCCAGAGAACGTGACCCCTTCCCTTGAGGACAGTGTTCCTGTTGAGGCGGATTTCCTTCTTGGCCTGGCCACTGTCCCTGGCTATGTATCCTTTCGGCATGTGAAGGAGGGTAGCTGGTATATTCAATCTCTGTATAATAATCTGAAGGACTTGGTTCCAAGGTGAGAGTTTTGAGTTGTTCCATTCACCTACCTGTTCATCTATCCATCTATCCACCTACCTGTTTGTCCATCTATCCACCCACCCACCCATGCATCCACGCATCTATCCATCCATCCATCTGTCCATCCTTCCATCCATCCATCCATCCATCCATCATCCATTTAAACATCTGTCCATCCATCCATCCATCCATCCATCCAACAAGCTTGTATTGAGCACCCACGTGAAACTGGAAAGGAGGATATAGAATGACAAAGACACACTCCCTGTCCTCAAGTTGCTCACAATCTAGAGAGATAGACAAGAAGATGGAAAGAGCGTCTGCCTGTGGTAAACACATTGTAAAGCATAGACGTTATGGGAACACACAGAACTAGTACTTCACACAGGTTTGGAGGATCAGGGGAAGCTTCTAAAGATGACAAATAGATGTTAGATAAATATTAGGGGTGAAAGACATGCTGGGCAGAGGGGACAGCATGAATGAAAGCCTGGAGCCTTCATTTATTCATTCATCAGTCACTCACGTTCTCTGAGTACCTGTGTGCGGCTGGCATCAGCATACCCTCAGTCCCCTGCCCCTGCTCTGACAACCTTCCTGTCTCTGCCACATGCTCCTTACCTGGTACCCTGGAAATGGCTTCACTGAGGTTCTGCCCCAGACTTCATTCTCTGCTCTCTTCCTCCTGCTCCTCACAGCAGCTTTAGCTCTATCTGGAGGCCACGGGCACCTCCATGAAAACGTCTCCCAAATTGCCATTTCTGAGTTTCTCGAGGGCAGAGTTTTTTCGTTCAACTTTCTATCCTCAGCACCTGATGTAATCCCTGATATATTGTTGAGCTTGATAAATATTTGGGGGACCAGTGACTGATTGAGTCGACCTCATTCTTCAGGTCAGTCCTGCACGTTTCTCGTAGCCTGCCAGACAGCCCACCCCTGTGTGGCCCTTGGACCTCTCATGCAGTATGCACAGTCCTGAGTCGTTCTTCCCAGCCCTCTCCGGGAGCTCCTCCTCCTGAGTCCCCATTTCTAGGAATGGTCACAATGCTCTTCTGGGAATTCAGGATTGGGAATCAGGATTGGTGCCTTGAATCACTTTAGCTTTTCCCTCTTCTTTACCAAACCCTCCATCCCCGCCATAGTCATCAAAGACCAATGTCCTATGGTTTCAGGTCCAAGGCAGTATTTACTGTGTGCTTCCTGTACTGGGTACTGAGCTCGGGGCTAGGGATACAGTTATGACCAAGGGAGACAAACATCTCTTCTCTGTGGAGCTTACAGTCGAGTGAGAGGGAGACAGATAATAAAAATGTAAGTAAGTGAATATTTAAATTAATAAGATAATTTCAGGAAGTGATACCTGCTATGAAGAAAGCAAAACAGGACAATGATATAGAGAATGGGGCAGGGAGCCACTTGAGAAGGCTTCGTGGTAGAGGTGATATTTCAAGTGAGACTGAATCATGAGGAGGAGACAGCCACAGGCAGATCTGGGAAAGCAGAGACCTGCTAGTGTGAACAGGATGCAAGGAGCAGGAACCAGGAAGGCCTGCATTCCCACCTGAAAAATACCAGTGATGAGGAGGAGGAGTAACACTAATAATTCTAAAAATGATGGTCGATGGAATATGTAGCCAGCGTTCTAAGAGCTTTACGTAAAGTGGCTCATTTAATTCTCACGTCAATCCCTGAAATGAGTACCATTACGGTCCCCATTTTAGGGCTGAGAAAACTGAGGCATAGTGAGGTAAGCCACCTGCCCAAGGCCACGTAGTCAGAGAGCGAGGGAGCCGTGATTCTAACTTGAGCTCTGTCTCCAGAGTCTGTGCTTTGCTTCCAATGATATGTACTGCCCACCCCTGGAACATTCTGCAGATGCCCCACATCCTGCAAGCCCAGGCTCAGATCTCCTCCTCTCTGCAGCCTTCTCTTCTCCTCCCAGCCAGAAGTGCTATCTTTCTCCTTTGAATTGCAGTGGAACTTTGAGCTACTTTTTATATGGTGTAGATCACATTCTGCCTTGTTTTATGAGTCTTGTGTACATGCCACCCTTGGTACACATTTCACACGTGCATTCTACCTATCTATTCTTTCTGTTTATCTGTCCATCCACCAGCTTGAAGGAAGAACATGGAAAAATAATTATACTCAAAATTCCTTTGTGGACTAAGTGTATTAAAATGTTATAAAGTTCTTAAACACTGAATATAAAATTGAAATTTTTTTTAAAGATTTTATTTTTTCCTTTTTCTCCCCAAAGCCCCCAGTACATAGTTGTATATTCTTCGTTGTGGGTCCTCCTAGTTGTGGTATGTGGGACGCTGCCTCAGCGTGGTTTGATGAGCAGTGCCATGTCCGCGCCCAGGATTCAAACTAACGAAACACTGGGCCGCCTGCAGCGGAGCGCACGAACTTAACCACTCGGCCACAGGGCCAGCCCCTAAAATCAAAAATTTTTATATAATTTAGCATTTCTTTTTTGATTTCAGAAGTATTTCTTTATATTTGGCAGGATTCCAGTTAGACTCTTGGCATGTTAGAATAGCAAGAAGCCACATGTTTTAGGCTCTTCATTCTAAGACCTGGGATGTGATTTCTGTCTCCTGATTGAAAATATTTTTTCTTCTCTGAGTGCAGACGTGAAGATATCTTATCCATCCTCACTGCTGTCAATGATGATGTGAGTCGACAGGTGGACATTTACGGGAAAAAGAAACAGATGCCCCAGCCTGCTTTCACACTACGTAAAAAGCTAGTGTTCCCTGTGCCACAGAAAGAGCTTTGATTAGATGAGAGAATTTTCATCAACTCTTAGACTTGAAAGGAACATTTGGTCATCTCCTCAGCCTCCCGCCCAACATAGGAATTGGTGACAGATGGTGAGCTGGCCTGGCCTGTCATTCTAGTAATAGGAAATGCTCTATTTTCTTACACTGCTAATTCTGGGCTTTCTTTTTCTTTTTGACGAGTCTAAGTGTTGGAAAATTTTCCTTATTGAAGCGTTGGATCACGGTCTTGGCTTTAGTTGTCCACCCTGAGAAAAAGTAATTGGCCTCGGTTTGTGCATCTGTGAAGTAAAAGGTGGGACCAGGAACATTTTAAGGTTCCTTTTTTTTTTTTTTTTTTAAGATTTTATTTTTCTCCTTTTTCTCCCCAAAGCCCCCGGACATAGTGAATTCGTGGGCTCAGGCGGGGGTTCTCTCAGCCATGAGACTAAGCTCAGACGTCCTCACCATGTGACCACCCCTGGTTAGAATTCTGTATCCCCTCAATGTGGCCCTGTTTTGGACATTGGATGACGACAAGATCATGGTTCGCTGACCTCTCACTGCTCTCCGCTTCCCAAGGCTTCGCTTCTGCATCTCTATGAGGAGAAAGTTTGGTCCATGCCATGCCCATTTCCTGCTTCCGTGTAAGGAAGGTGCTCCTGCAGGAACTGTGCTCTTGGGGTAAGAACAGGGTTGGCTCTAGGAAGATGATTGCTCAGTGTGAAGAGACACACTTTCAGCTACGCTGGGAGCAGAAACTTTACAAACTGATGTCAAATTCTTTGTTGGTCAGAACCTTTCAGCTGCCAGTGACAGGACACCCAACTCAAACCGGATTAGAGCGAAGAAGGGAAGTTATTGCCTCTTTCACCTAAAGAGACACGAATGAGTAGCACTGGCTTCAGGTGAGGGTTGAATCAGGACCCAATCTGCAGTACAGCGTCTTTCTCTTGGCCAGGGGTCCTCAGGGTTGGCAGGTGCAGTGTGCTGACTGCAGTCAAGAGCCCCGCCTTGTCACTAACCTGCACTCTGCTCCTCTGGCTCAAAGGATGGGGAGGGAGACAGCCCGAGCGACTGAAGCTGTTCAGGGATTGCTGCCCCCTCCTTAGCCAGAGGGGTGTCTGGCTATGCCTTGTGGAGGGGGTGGCTCTCCATGGAAGGTTTTGAATATTTTTATGTATGTGAAATTTTTTTTTCAATTTCAAGAGAAATTTTCCTTTTTCAATTCCTGGAAGAAGGAAGATTGAAAGCTTGGTGGTTTCCTCATTTATAGACGAGGAAGTGGAGGCCAAGGAGGCAAAGCGGTCTGCTGCGGTGCTCCAGCCAGCTATTGTTTACAGGGTGTTATTTCCCACCTAGGTGGACTGCAACGTCACGGCCTTGACCGGACTTGATGAATGTCTCCGTCGATATGCGGACCTCACGAAAGATGTCAGGGAAGGAAGGAAAATAACTCTCAGTCATGTCTGATTTTGTAATTATTTCTGTGAAAGTCAAATTAACTTATGGTGAATTTGGTATGAGAACTGTGTTATAATGTAGCTGGTAATTACGTGGATTTGAATGTAGCTTGACCGAGGAACAAATCTAATACACACGTCAGGATGATCTTCAAACCACTGTTCATACAAGTCAAAGCTGACAGCTCGTGGTTACCGCCTTTGTCCAGCTGGACATTCAGGCGTCCTTCTCTGCAGCGCAGGACGGTGGGGGACCCAGGAAAGAGCAAAGGGTCTCTAGATGGAAGCCCTGGGCTTCTATTTGGCCCTGTGACTCCCTTGCTCTGAGACACTAAACCAAGCTAGTCTTTTGAGCCATATCTATAGAGAAAATATTGTCTGTTGGTAGTTTTAAGGAGAATATATATCCCTTCAAATCTAATTGTGAGGTGCACAGAAGGCCTTTAGGGGACCCAGTCTTCTGTTAGTACCCTAAATGGAAATAGCAGAATTTAAGTTCCTTTGTATCTAATTCCAGCTGACTTTTAGCTGCAAATCAACACTAGCAATAGGCACTGACAGCCTCTGAGTGAAGACCTGGTTCTCCCCTCACGGGTCGCAGTGTCCCGGCAGCAGCAAAGCCAGCTCTTGCTTCCGAGTCCAGCTGGAAAAGACCCTGCTGATGAGCTTTCCTTCATCACACACATTTGGGGGTTGCTGTTTAAGTCCTAGGCCTGTGTTCTGTTTCATATTTCCGTTTTGCTGGAACGTAGTGCTTGTTCAAGGTTACATTCTAGAATCAGGAAACTTCCCCTGAACTTCCTTCACAGAGGCCTCCAGCAAGCACTTTGAGCATTTATGCCTGCAAGTCATGGATCTGTGCAGAGGCCAGGAGTGCAGTTGTCTGTGGCTCATTTCCCCTAAGTGGAGGGTGTACACACTTGTCCTTTGTATTTATGTGTGTGTTTGTGTGTGTGAGTGAGTGAACTTAGTGTCCAGAACAACAGGAGGTGATCTGGTCACAGACATTTTGCAGTGGCTACAGCAATTGTCTGTCCGGACATTTATGAAATGGGCAGGTTGAGTAAGATTTCTGTGTGTTTTGCCTGGTTTTGCTCAACCTACAAGAGGCATAGTTATTTTTTTCCTTGTTTTCTTTCTTTCTCAAAAGTTTGTCTTCTCTCAAACAAAATCAAGGACACAAAAACCTATGGTAGAGTATTATGCAAACAATAGTTATTTAATAATGATACTACTGGCGTTTGTTATTATTAGAGCTACTAGTCACCAGAGCATCCTGTGCAGGTTTGACACCACAGGAATTTCTCTTAGCAATATGGTATATTCTGCCAAGGCTCAGGTAATTTAAACCTATAAGCAACTGGTACATTGTTGTTACTGACCACTCAGAATAGCCACTGACCAGTATACACGATGGTGAATACTGCTGGATGGCAGCCCTTTATCAATGATCAAGTCTCCAGTGAGGTAAACCAAATTAGAAATTCACCTGATTTTACAGATAACTTGTGTGCCATATCCGATTCACTAACTCTCCCAGGTCAGGTACTTTCTGAGTGATCTGGTCAAGTTGTTCTTGACCTGGAATTCTTGGGCCCTCAGGTATTTGTGGATTTATTCTCAGGGTCTACGAGTCCTCCACCTTCATTTTTAAATGTTGTAATTCCTTCTTGGCAATGATCTTTAAAAATTAATAGGAGTGCGTCCTGGCTCTTCTGGATGACCACTTCATATCTGAGCACTGCCACACTTCTGTGCCCACAGAAAGTGGTGAGCATTACACTGACCTTTTTAATGTAGCATGGGTTACAGTCCATGGCTAGAGGGCCTCAGATTTATCATCAGGTGCCAGTGGTTAATCTATTTGAAACCTGCTCCAGTCCATCCTCTCACCCCATGACAGACTCCTGCTCCACCATCCCTCACCTCTGCTTAGCCATTCCAGCAGAGGGAACTCACACCACATGCAGAGTCATGGATTTGGGAGTGTAGAAGAACCCCGGAGACCCTGTGATCCAGCCTTCAGAATGCTAAACAACTTAGCAAAGTCTCACAGCTGTTAGTGGAGGATTTGCAATCCTGTGTATCTCCTGCTTTGCAATCCTACAACCTGGTTTCGCTCTTGAACAGTTTCAATTGTTCTTTTCTCTGTTGAACTTAAATCTGCCTTTATCCCAGGGATGCAAGGATGGTTCAACATCCACAAATCAATCAATGTGATACACCACATTAACAAAATGAAGAATAAAAATCACATGTTTATCTCAATGGATGCAGAGAAAGCATTTGACAAGATGCAACATCCATTTATGATAAAAACTCTAAACAAAATGGGGATAGAAGGAAAGTACCTTGACATAAGAAAGCCCATATATGACAAACCCACAGCCAACAGCATACTCCCTGGAAACTACTGAAAACCACTGGTTCTCATTCTACGCTCTGGAGCCATTCCAAACCAGTGTAATTATCCTCTGCTCTGGTGAGATATATATTTTATGTGACAAGTTATTTAGCTTTTTTTCTGGGGGTCTCTGGGTCTTGTCAAATGTCTGCAGTTTGTTCTTAAGGATGTGGTAACAATATAGTCATACGTTTGTGTCTTTGAACAGGAACTAAATTTCTGAGGAAACCATTTAAAAAAGTACTAGAAGAAATTCCCTGTTTAAAGAAAGACTCATCTGACAATACCAACAGCCATTTCCTAACACAACTTTTGCATAGACGAATTTTTAAAAGAAGGGTTTTCTATTAAAAATTTTAAATTGTATTAATTTTTTACTTTTTACATTTATTTTTGAATAGGTAATATCTTTCCATTGTTCAAAGATAAGCAAATATGGAAAAGTCTTGCTCCTGTTTCTGTCCACTGTATGCCCAGTCCCCCCACTCCCTCATCCCATAGATAATTTCAGGGTGTCTTAATGCAAATGCAAATACAGCAAATAGAAATATATATGTATTTTAAACTAGGTTTTCTTGAAACAAAGTACATGCACTGTGAAACTCACATCTCTCATTTGGTCTCATTTTAAATGATTCTGTAAGATGCTTGGAAATACTGGTACAATTCTACACTGGGAATAACTTGGTGAGCCTGGTGGACTGGATACTTGTAAATGGTAATAATTGACTTACCAGTAAATAAAGAGATTTTTTTTTCCATTTTATCATTGAGTAATATCTTTGATTTTACTTAACTTTTTTTCTGCTTATTGCGTAAGAACATTGTGGAATATTTGGGAAATACAAGAACACACAAAGAAGAAGAGTTATTTCGTTTTTAATTCCATTTTGGCATACACTTCCCCATTATTTCACTCTGCATTTGTCCCTGACCTTCCCTACCCCCTTCAAATGAACTTACCCTCCATCTTCTCGCAATCACACGTCCAGTAAACTTTGTCATTACCAATGTCTGTACGTCCACCCAAGTCTCAGTTTCAAGCATGCCCCTCCCTGACAACCACCTGCTAGCACTCCATCTCACTTCCTCTAGGACGCTCCCTCCAACAGTCTTCAGTGCCACTGGGGCCCCTACTTGGTCCACTGACCCTATCTGCCATCTTTCCAATGTCAACAGTGTACCTCCCTCTCACCCTTCCTCCCTCTTTACACAACTAGAGTCCATGTGTCATCATTAAACTCACTCTCTTGCACCCACCCAACACTCCTGCCTTCCATCAGTCCTACTTATGGGGCAGAATCCCAACTCTGGTTACGCCCAGACGTCCGCTTACTGCATGTTTGTACCGGAATTCCTGGTTGTGGCTGGTGGAAAAACGTACAATGTTGCAGACTGTTCTCCTTTTAAAACCAAGGACCACAAACCTCTGATAAGCTTTCAGTGGTTCCTGGCGATCCTGTGACATTTCCCTAGTTATGTCACCCTTTTGTTCTCTCAGACTATTTTGCACCTTCTTTTCTCTCCTCAGAACTCTATCATCCTCCACTCTCCTCCGTTTTGTTTGATGGTCTCACTCATTCCACCAAAGGAAGTGATCAGAAGAGGCTTCCACCTTCCATCACCGAGTCCCGACCCACCTGCACCCTAACCGTCGTTTGCTGCTTTGTCTCCCCGTCAACAAGGGGTCAGGCGTCTGTGCTACTCCTGAGAGTCAGTGCCTCCTCCCCTTGTGCAGAGACGACCCGTCCTGCTCCCTGAGGACATCACTCCGCAGCCCTCCCTCCTTTCTCCTGCTCTGTTAGCTTTACCCCTCCCAGATCACTCCCCTTGGCATCCAAAACATGCTGTAATTTCTCCTTCAAAACAAAAAAAAAAAAGCAGAAACCCCCAAATGCCTGTCTTCTGTCGGGCTCTCAGAAGCAGACCCTGAGAGGAGGACCCTTGTGCAGGCGTTTTGTTCAGGAATCGCTCCCTGAAGAAACCTGCAGGGAGAGGGAGGCAGGACAGGGAAGGGGAGAAGGCTGGTGAGGCCAAGGCCACGCATGTTATCTCAGCTTGGCTGGCAGGAGCTGGGCTTCTCTTCTCTTCCACGTCCTTGGCTAAGAGCTGCCCCAGGTGGGGGAACTTAAACTTCCAGGCGCTTCTTGTGGTTGAGGGCAGTTCCTATCACAGTACCCTCACACAGAGATGTGAGCCTTTAGAAGCAAAACCCCTGCAAGCTGGCAAGCTGGTAGGGGTAGGGGAGGCTGCGGGGTGGGGCGGGGGGCAGATGGGGATTAAAGGTTCAGGAGGTCTCTCTGGAGCACAGACAGCACCCTCTACATCCCCCTTGACCCCACATGCCATCTCATCTTCCCACTTCTTACCCATCCCTCAGGCCTGTCCAACATTTGCATGGCCTTGGGCAACAGTAAAATCAGAGGCCCACAAACCATGCGCACAAACATAAATATCTAATAAACTACTCTCCCACTGCCTCTTCGAAACGACTCAAAAGGTCAGCTTGGAATTTCTCATTTTCGTGGTGTGCAGAGTGTCTGCCCCTTTCTCTTCCCACCCCCAGCTCCTTCCAGACCACCCGAAGCCCTTATGTGTGCAAAAGAACATGAAAAATGTCACACTGAGTGGGAGCAGTGTAACCTTAAGCCCAGAATGTTGTGGAAGGATTTTCTATGATCTCAATCTAATAGGTTAGAGACATTTCTGGAAAACCTCCACCTTTTTCTTTAACAACCCACTATAGATCTGCCATTTGTGAATTCATCTAAGCAGAAGCACTCTTTCTCCTCTTGATTACTTTAAAATGTCAAAAACAACATTGAAAAACTAAAGAATAAGCCACAACTGGGAAATGGTATGTGCCACATATATAACTGACATATATATTCTACAATTCCACAAAATAATTAAACAATGGGGAAAAACTTGAACCAATAATTAAAAGAAAAGAATACGAATGAGCAATAAACATAATCAATCTCCTTAGTAATCAGACAACTCCAAAAAGAAAAGCCACAATGAGATCCCTTTTTATATCGTCATACTGACAACATTTAAAAACCTGTGGGTACCAAGTATGGATGAGGACAGGAGCAAAGGGAAGCCCACTAGGCTGCTCGAGGAAACGCAAATTCACACAATCTCGTTAGTGAACAATTGGCAATATCCACCTCTAAACTTTGAAGACCTGCACACAGCACGATCCAGCATGCCGTTTCTGGGTCTACCACACAGAAGAAACTCTTGCACGTGCACTAGGAGACGTGGCAGAGAATTTTCAGAGCAGCATTGTTTGTAGAAGAAAAAAAAGGAAGCTAGCTAAATACCCATCAATAGGAGCTGGGATGAATTTTGGTACCGTCACATGAAGGAATACTACCAGACAGTGAAACGAGATGAACTAGAGTAATTTGGTTGAACCATATGAAACTGCCATCCTTGTAGGTCAGGCACCATCAGATATCAGCAGTTTCATATGATTCAGTCAATACCTGTAGGAGCACCATGCTTTCTGGAACAAGATGGTGGTAGATGTGAACATTGTGAATGTACTAAACGCCATGGAACTATCCACTTTAAAATGGTAAATAAAATAAAAATTCTATTTAAAAAAGAAACACAGGGGCAGGCCCCATGGTTGAGTGGTTATGTTCACGTGCTCTGCTTTGGTGGCCCAGGGTTTTGGTGGTTTGGATCCCCGGTGCGGACACGGCACCACTCCTCAGGCTATGCTGAGGCGGCATCCCACATGCCACAACTGGAAGGACCCACAACTAGAATATACAGCTGTGTACTGGGGGGCTTTGGGGAGAAGAAGGAGGAAGAGGAGGGGGAGAGGAGGGGAGGGGGGAGAGCAGGGGAGGAGGAGGGGGAGGAGGAGAAAGATTGGCAACAGATGTTAGCTTAGGGCCAATCTTAAAAAAGAAAATGCTGAGCAGACAGAATATGTACAATATGATACAGTTTACACAACATTAAAAACACATCTAAACTGTATGTTCCTTATGGATTCATACGTATGCGATACACGTGGGGGTGATACACACGGAGTTTAGACAAGCTGTTTCGGGGTGCGTGGGGTTTGGGGCGAGAGGGCGGAACTACGCAGGCGCTTCCCTGTGCTGGTCTGGTCTTCCCTCAACCTGGTGCTGAATCTGTGGGTTTTCTCTTTCTTGTAGAATCCTCGTCGCTGCTGACTGATGTAACGTGGCCACCAGACAGGGTGACTTAGTCGTTGACTGTTGAGTGCTTGGCCTGGTAGGGGGTGCAGGGTGGTTCCGACCTCTTGACTGGGGCAGAGTAAGTTTCTTCAACCCAGTTTGTTGCTGTTAGTGCCCACGGGGTGGATTCCTATCCTAGCGCCCCTGTGGACAGCAGAGCGGAAGCCCTCGCTGCGTTTTTGCGCCATCCTCTCCCCTTCCTGCGCTCTATCAGACGGTGCTCCCCAGCCTGCCCGTATTTGAAACAGCGCTGGTATAGCTTTTCAGCGTCAGAGCAACACGCAGCTGCCACAGCAAACCACACCGCTGAGAGCCCACAGACGGGTGCTGGGGCGGTTCCCTGAACGGGAAGCAAGCCAGGGCGGGGGGGTTGGGGGTGGGGGTGGGGTGGTGAGAGTGTGGACCTTAACCACTGGGCCCCCAGGACTGGCCTTCTTCAACCACTACCTGTCCGCATCTTTCGTGGTGGTGGTTTCTGTGGCGGTGACGTAATTAGCGTTGCCAAGGGGCATTGACTCACTTTTTATTGCTCTGAGCCATCCTTGTTGCAAAGTAACCACCCTGATACCTCGTCTGCACCAGGAAGCAAGCCTGCAGGTGGGAAACCCCCTTGTGGTGCCTCCGTGCCAGCGCCTCGAACCTGTTCTGATGGATTAGTGTAAGTCAGGGGTCAGTGCAGGCTCAGCCTTCCTCAGTGTGACCCCGCTCCCACCCCATTGCTGCTGACATTTCTCCTTTGCCAGAGTGCAGGGTCACGAGCTCCGTACTACAGCTCATCCTCCTAGTCGTTGCTCGTTTCCCCACTTGAAAGAATCCGCCACGCTCCTCCAGCCTCCACCCCGCCCAACCTCAGGCCTTCCTGAATCCCCAGCTCTGACCGCCCTGCGTGCCAGGAGGCAGGGAGCCAGTTTTGGCTAGGGGCTTCTTGCTGCTGCCAAATTAGCAACTCCTGCCCTTGGGTCCGGCCACTTGCTGACGCTGACAATGTTGACTCTGTGACAGTGACAGAGAGGTGTTGCTGCTCCCATTTCATAGATCAGAAACAAGGGCCCAGAGGCTAAGCGATCAATAAGGTCAGACTGCTAGGAAGTGGGAGGACCAGACTGGAACTCTGGCTGACCTCCACGCCCGGGGGCCTGTCCTTTCTGTCGGTGGAGGCCTTTCCCGAGGGACGGAGGGTGGGCCTACACACGGTAGTTTGCACCCCATCCTCAGTCCTGGAGATGGGGGCTGGGCCTCTCCTTGAGTTACCACCCTGAAACAGCAGGCCAGGCCAGTTTTATCAACAGTTTCAGGCCTGTGAGATGGGCTTGGCCCAGTTAAAGATTGTGATTAAGACAGGCAGTTCAATTACTTACGAGAAAGATGACCCATCCCACCAGACAGTGGAAGCACAGTGTCTGAAGAAGAGTCAGGCTGGTCCAACTTCCTCAGGCCTCCGGCGCTGCCTCCTGAGGCCTGGGATTGCTGTGTGTGAGGAGCCCTCCCAGCCAGCTTCCCCCGTTTGCTCTTTGTGTTCAGTGAGAGGTTATAGCTTCCGGGAAGGACGATGAAACTAATGCAGCGTCGGGAGGAGAACACGTGTGGGAGCAGGGAACAGACTCCCAGACCTCAGCGCCCTCCCTTCCCGGGGCCACCTTTGCTCAGATGCCACCCTGCACAGGCGGGGCTGCTGCAGTCACAGCTCGTGCCTCTGTCCCCCCACTGGCGCATTAGCCAAAACGTACTAAAGCGAGTGCCCTGAAGAAGCCATAAGGCTGGCCCCTTGCCAGCACCACCTGTCAGTCTTGGAGGCGTGGAGTTCATGAACTTGTCATTCCCTTACTCTGTTGTTGTTCATACTTCCGTTTCACGTGTATATGTGTCTTTCTCCCTCACCTTATTGTAAACATCTTTTAAAAATTTCTGTTTTCTTTATTTGGAAATGTAATACAAGCAGGTGGTAAAAAATTTAAACAGTGCAAAACGGTACCAGGGAAAAGTAAATTTCACACTGACCCCTGTTCCTCAAGCTCCGGCTCTTAGCACAGAGATAATTATGGTTTCCAATGTTTAGAATATCCTTCAGAGGTATTTTATTCTTCTATAAGCGTGTACGTATCTGTGTCCTTCCCTCACTCCCCCTCCCACACGTTAGCAGACTGTTCTGCACTGTGGTTTTCTAACGTCACATACCTCGGTGACTGTGCTACGTGAGAACATACAGGTCTCCTGGAACCTTTTCCTGACTGCTAGCGTTCTGTTGTATGTACGTGTCCTCAGTGATCTAACCAGCACCCTCTTGATGGGCGTTTAGGGATCACAAACTCCAGAAGGGCAGACACAAGATCTTACCCATCTTTTGTTTCCTACACTCTGGCCTAAAAAAAAGGGGTGAGCCAGGATTGTTCAGTAATTAAAACACAACACAAACCACAACCGTCCATTCATGAAAAGTGGAGAGCAGCTCTATTTTCTCTCAGCTCTGAGTTCTGACATCTGCAGCTTTGCCACACTGAAAATGTGCTAGTTCTCGTTCAGCTTTCCTATCAGCCACACCATCAACCAACACGTCCTGAGCGCTGCCAGGTGTCAGCAGTTAGAAAACGTGGATGCAAGAAACGTCCCTGCCCTCTAGGAAATTAGAATCTGGTTGGGGAGAGAAGAAAGGTACTTTCTGGCAAAAGCGATGTAACAAAATAATCAAGAAAGGATGGATAAATTTTAAAAATGCTGTTAGGACAATTGGCTCTCCACTTGCAAGTAAACAAAGTTAGATGCCTACCTCAGACTATGCACACATACACAAAAATTCCAAAAGGTTTAAAGATATGAGTGTTGAAACAAAACTATAAAGGAATTAAAAGAGATATAGGAAATAAAAGACCAGAGACAGTTTCCCTAAGCAAGACATAAAAGCCAGAAGTCATAAAGGAAAAGATTGATAAATTTGACTACTTAAAAACGTAAAACTTCTGTATAATCAAAGACATGAAAACTGCATTAAAACACAGGCAATGCCGAGTCCATTCAGAAGATGGCTGGTCCTTGGCAGGAATGCATGGATTATGCAGTAACACTAGCAAGACAAGCTGGAGAGGTGGTTCGTGACGCCCTGAAAAATGAAATGAATGTTATGATTAAAAGTTCTCCAACTGATTTGGTAACTGCTACTGACCAAAAAGTTGAAAAAATGCCTATCTCTTCTATAAAGGAAAAATACCCTTCTCACAGTTTCATTGGTGAGGAATCTGTGGCAGCTGGGGAAAAAAGTGTCTTAACCGACAACCCTACATGGATCATTGACCCTATCTATGGGACAACCAGCTTTGTACATAGATTTCCTTTTGTAGCTGTTTTGATTGACTTTGTTGTAAATAAAAAGATGGAATTTGGGGTTGTGTACAGTTGTGTGGAATATAAGATGTACACCGGCAGGAAGGGAAAAGGTGCCTTCTGTAACAGTCAAAAACTGCAGGTTTCACAACAAGAAGATATTACCAAATCACGCTTGGTGACAGAGTTGGGGCCTTCAGGAACACCGGAGACTGTAAGTATTATTCTTTCTAATATGGAAAAGCTTCTTTGCATTCCCATTCATGGGATCTGAGGGGTTGGGACAGCAGCTGTTAATATGTGCCTTGTGGCAGCTGGAGCTGTGGATGCGTATTATGAAATGGGAGTTCACTGCTGGGACATGGCAGGAGCTGGCATCATTGTTACCGAAGCTGGTGGAGTACTCATGGATGTAATCGGTGGTCCATTTGGTTTGATGTCACGAAGAATAATTGCTGCAAGTAGTGAAAGTTTAGCAGAAAGGCTAGCCAAAGAAATTCAGATATTATCTTTTCAAAGAGACGATGAAGATTAACTACACAGCCTCATATGTCCAAGCACAGTTGCATCTCCCCAGATTTGCTGACACACTGATGGTGTTAGGCAATTTCAGATGTATAATATAATTGGTTTAAGTTGTCATTGATGTCAAGATTAAAAAATTGCCATTTGTTTCATATTTTACTAAGACTAGGTATGAAAGAATAGATGAAATGTTTGTTTTATTGTTTTAAAAAATTTTGCACATAAGAATGTACTTTAGGAAAAATACACAGGCAGTTGATGAGATCATTATATCAACTGAGATAGTTAGCAACGTAGAGTTTCTAGGTATATACGAGCTTCTGAAATTTTGACTTACTATTTATACACATAAGCATTCTTAATTAGAAAGTTAACTTTTTGGAAAAAATTTTCTCTTTAGTTCCAAAAGCCATACTTAATTAAATTTGTAAGAATAGAACGAGTGTTTCCCAGCCCGAGGTTTCTTTGTCTGCAGAGAATGCTGTTGTCCTCATTGGTAGCACATCGGTAGCAGTGTATTCATGCGTGTAGCACTTAGCGCAGTCCTTGTCAAACATAGGCAATCCAAAAATAAGCACTGAAAGAGTGACTGGTTTGCAGGTCGCAGTTCTTAGTTACAACAGATAAAGTAGTGAGCACACTGTTCTGTATTTTCACTTCAGGTTTTGAGGTAAAAATCATCTCATCATCCTTTTCATATTTCACGTTACCATTCCTGTAACATTTCATATTACTGTGCCATTTCCATTGCCATAACACCAGGTATCATTCCTAATGGTGGACGTTTCTGCAGTTGATATATTTTTCAAAACACTGCATTACAGTATTAGTTTGCATTCCTTTAAAGTCCCTATGTAAAAGCGAAGAAACTGTTTCAAAAAAGAATCCTCATCAGGCATCTGATATAATTAGATACAGTATAACGTTTTACTGAATTCAATATTTATGATTCAACGATGTGCAGACTGATGTGGTTGTCACAGGAAACCCACAACCTGCGAGTATGCTGTACTGTTGATAGTGAACTGTTTGTTCTTCCCAGACTTCTCGTTTAACTGTATTGCCACTGGATTCTATTCAGCCTTTAAATATTCCTTAATAGTCTCTGGCGTATTGAACTCAAAAAGAAAATTGTTCTGGTTCATAGATATTTTTAAAAGATTCATTTATTGCTTAGCCTTGTCGCTTACCAGTAAACAGACTATTATGTTTTGTCCTAGCCTCATGTCCTAGGCTCAGGCCTTGTATCTGATAAAATGAAAGTGCACCTATCAAGTCCTCAGGGTTGGGGGTTATTTTATCGTTGTGCACATCCAATACATTCAATATATATGATGCTAAGATTTGAGTTTTTATATATAATTACTATATTTGCACTGCTGGTCATGTGCCATAAAAACATCTCATACTGTTTTAAGACAGGTTGTTTTTGCAATTAAATTTATTTTAATTAAGATTATCATGGATAAAATTTTAAATAAAAAGTATAATTTTAAAAAAGAGACAGGCAATGAAGTTTGGGAAGAAAAAAGTTCTGGAGATGGATGGTGGTAACGGTGGCACAGCAATGCGAATGCACTTAATGCCACTGACCTGTGCACTTAAAAATGGTTTCGACGGCAAATTTCATGTTACGTATATTTTACCACAATGAAAAAAAGCCATGCAATGAATCAGGAGAAAATATTTGCTATGTAAGTAACTAAGGATGGACGTCTCTAATAAAATTTGTAAAACTAAGCATACTTTTAGGAATAAACCAAGAAAGAATTTCTATGAATCAAAAAGAAAGTGAGAAACAGTTCAACTACAAAATGAATAAAGCATACGAACAAGTGTTTCACAGGAGAAGAAATAAGAATGAACAATGAACTTATGAAAAGATGTTCAACCTTCATAGTAATTGAACAAAAACTAAAACAATGAGATACTAGTCCTCGGATTAATAAAAGTTAAAGGAAAAAAGCTGTTGTTGGAAATATAAATTGGTGCAGCCTTTTAGGGAGAGCAATTTCAAAACATCTCTCAAAAATGTAATTGCACAACTCTGTGACAGAGCAATTCATTCCTCTTCAAGGAATTTTTTCCTTTAGAAATAGTCATGTTCACAGAAACACACTTACAGTATTACACAGTGTAAAATAGCCCCAATTTGGAAACTAGCCGCATTTCCTTAAATAGGGGAGTGGCTAAACAAATTTCACAGGTTATACAATAAAACATCTGGCATGAATTAGAAGAATGAACTAAAAGAATGAGTTAAAAGAAGGGACAATATGTAGAGACCCAATATATCTTGGTAAGTAAAAAGAAAGCAAGCTGTAAACCATATACATTCAGTTAGGGGACAGTCAGAGGTGGAAACCCCACCTGTAATTTGAAAGGGAAAATTTAATAGGAAAGAATTATTAACTAGTAAAAGAAGGTTAACTACTCAAAGGCTGAGGCAGAGTGTCCTAGGAAGGAAGAAATCCAGAAGACCCCTCCCACCCCAAGGCTGGGAATCAGAACTGAAGAAGCTGCAGCTGTGCCCAGTGGGGGTGGGGAAGGTCACTGGGGCGTCACGGGCCAGAGCTTGTCTGCAGCCAGCAAGCCAGGGCTGGTGAGCAGAGGGCTGCCCGCTGGGGTGGGGACAAAATTCTCTAGAGCGTGCTCACCACAGGTCTTCCGCAAGCCTCTGGCAGCTGCGCTTCAGGAGCAGGAAGAGAAGCGCCCGCCCTGAAGCGGGAGGAGGAGCCTCTGCTCGGTCTCGCGCTGCTCCTTCAGCGCCCTCCACTAACAAAGCCTAGACTTGTGCCAGCTGGCAAAGGAGACATTGTTCAAAAATTATTTTATTTAGGTCATATTGGCTTATAACATCGTGTAAATTTCAGGTGTACGTTATTGTATTTCACCTTCTGTCTAGACTGCATTGTGTTCACCACCAGTAGTCTAGTTTTTATTTGTCACCACACATATGTGCCCCTGGCCCCTTCACCCCCACCCTGGCCTTCCCCTCTGGTAACTACCAATCTTTTCTCCTTATCCTCATGTTTGTTTTTCTTCCACATATGAGTGAAATCGCATGGTGTTTGTCTTTCTCTGACTTATTTCACTTAGCATAATACCCTCAAGGTCCATCCATGTACAAATGGGACTACATCAGACTAGAAGGCTTCTGTACAGTAAAGGAAACATCAACAAAAGGAAAAGACAGCCCACCAACTGGGAGAAATATTTGCAAATCATATATCCGACAAGGGGTTAATTTCCAAAATATATGAGGGAGACATTTTTATAGGGTGTAGCTACAATATCACCAAGCAGGACGGCAAGTGGATTTGGAGCTGAGGCAATACCCTGACTATATGTACACTATTGACAAATAAAAATGGCAAGTAATAGGATATATTGAAGTATATGAGGAAGCCATTTGGTGTAAACCTAATTCGGCCTGACCTTGTCTTTCCAAAAGGGCCTGACTGTGGCTGTTGAGCACGCATTGTATATCTGCTTTAGAGATTCCCTATGGCAAGAGCAAAAGGCCCTTGAGATAAAGGTGCAACTTCCCCTCCCCCTCCCAACGTTGGCGTCTCCTGAAGGATTAAGTATCCTTCCTTAGGCTAGAAACTGATTGCTGCGCTCACCTGTGACCGCCCAGCTCAAGACAATAGACTTGCCTCCTGCTACACCCACCAAGATAGCAGACCCACTACCTGCTGTGTCCATCAAGCGCTGTGCCCACAGGGCAATCTTGTGACTATTGTGGGAGGGACATTTCTATCATATATGAAACACCCTCTTTGAGGGTATATAACCACCCTGTGTACCCCCACTTCTTTGGAGTGCTCTGTTCCTTTGTGGAAAGACTCTCCCGGGTTATAATCCTAAGATTTAAGCTCAAAATAAACTCACCCAAATTTTCATTTATAGATTGGTTATGGATTGTTTTCGACAACACTATATATACACCGGCAATCACTGGTATATGTGATAGAGATATTATAATGACATTTATTCACACTTAATATGCATTTGCTCTGCATGCCAGGAACTGTTCTAAGCATTTTGCCTATATTACTTGATTTTCATAATAACCCTCAAATGCAGTAGTTATTAATATCTCTATGACTGAGGAAACTGAGGCACCGAGCTGTAAGTGACTTGCCCAAGGTCACACAGCTGTTAAGTGGCCAAGCAAGAATCACTATGGCTTTACAAACACAGAAGAGGGACGGAAAGAATCCTATGGGAGCGGGCGGGCCTCTCAAGGCAGCGGGAACAGGCCAAGGCGGATGCTTTCCTTTTTTCATCATTGCTTCAAATAAACACAGTAATAAAACTACCCCTTTTTATTTCGTTTTTGTATTTGTGGGTGGGGTTATTTTGCAAAGAAGAAACTAAAATAATTACTCAATGACGGCTCCTCGTGCCAGGCAGTAAGAGGCTAGTGTTTACGAGAAGCGGAGTGCTCTCGGCAGGCGGGAGCGGCCTGGGCAAAGGTTGAGAGGAGGGTGAGTCACGCGCTGCGAGCGTTTCCACTTGCTCCCGCTGGTGATCCGCTGAGCGGCCTGCCCTTCCCACCGCCCCCCCCCACCCCCACCCCCCAGCAGCGTCATGGGGAGGAAGGAGGAAGGCGGCCGAGGGATGCCGGTGGGCCGGGGAATTCGCACTCAAGAGCCCCTGGTCTCTGTATGGTAGTGGCTGTCACTGCTATCCCAGTTTCCCACGTGAAAAGACCAAGGCTCGGTCAGCGAAGTGTCTACTCACACAGTAAACAGTGTTACATTTTCATTTGATTCATTTTTACAGTTCCTCTTTTGTAGCAAATGCAATGCCTTCCCATTTATGGTAGTGACATAAAAGTTCCTTTTTAATAACATTTATTTATGTAAATTTTTATTTAAGTAAAGAAAGTGAATCCGTTTAAAATAAGGTAAATAAAAGAAGGAGTAAACAAGAAAATGACAAATATTGTCCAGGTCATTCAGGATGACTGAGGTGGGCACCTCGGGGCGGTCGGTGATGGAGGCCAGCCCCTCTGAGGGGGAGCAGCTCAAGTGCCCAGCTGATGACCCAGCTACAGAAGCCCAGACTCTTTAGGGAAAGTTCTGGAATGAGCTTCGGTTAGAGATTTTAGGATAACATTAAGGAACTCTTTTAAATCTGAGTCTCCCTGTGTGTGTCCTTTTTCAGTCTGGGAAAACTGGGGTGTGGGAACCTACCAGGATACCAACAGTGGACAGGAAGTCAGTGGTTTTCCTTGTGGGACCCAGGAGCGGGTGTTACCAGACTCTCCTGCTGGGGGAGAGGACACAGCAACGTTTGTTTACCACGGGGGTGGTGGTGGTGGGGGAGCCAAAATCCCCTCCCATCTTTTTCCCTGTGGTTCCACTTTGAACATGTGAGGCTGTTTCTTCTGATAGTTAATTCCACATTTATATATAATGTGCTTATACTTCTATCTCTTGACTAATACATTTCGCCATTTAGATCAAGATCATTGATTGTGTTGTTCCCGTCTCCCACAGCTCTGCTGCGTTAGAGGTGCATAAATATCTCAACCTAGGATTCTAGATTGTTGCTTATTTCAGTTCTGATCATTTTTGCTTTATGTCTACTTTCTTTGGATTCGTATAATGATACCAGTTGGTATATCTTTTTCCACTTTACATTTTCAGTGTTTCAGTGTCCTTACACTTGAAATGTGTCTGTTATAAACAGTGTATTGTCAGGATTTTGTTGTTGTTGTTTTACAAGAACCAATCTGGTAAATCTTTCCTTAAAGGTAATATTTAGTCCGTTTTTGTTTAATGCAATTATTTATAGAATAGGGTTTAAATTTACTATCTTTCCAGTTGTTTTCTATTTGTGGCACCAGTTTACTTTCCTCTACTCTCTTGACTTCCTTTAGATGAATTAAGTAAGTTTTGAAAGTTCATCTTACCCCTTTATTAACATGTTAACTATACATTCTTTTAGTGGTTGCTTTCGAGCTGTGCTAACAGTGTAGCTGCTAGCTATATGTCTGTTTAAAACAGCCTTACTTCAGTGTAACTGATATTGTTGGGGAGGAAGACATTTCCTCTACCCACACTGGGTCCTTCTGGCCGGACAATGAATTAAATTCATATGAGACAGAATAACAGGAGAAAATTAAACAAAGCTTTGTAACATTGTATACATGGGAGAGGCTTAGGCAAACTGAGCAAGTCCCCAGAATGGTGGAGGTTCTCCCTTTAAATGCCACCCTCAGCTAAAGACAAAGGAGGATGTTGGGGGTGGGAGGGGAGAGTCAGTTATGGGAGATCACCAGGAAAGCACAGTAAACAAGAGTAAAATTATTATGCAGATTTAAGTCCTTGCCTTCTGCATTGATAAGAGTTTCTAGAGATAAGGTCATCCTGGCTTCTTCCTGTACAGAGAGGGAGACACCTTTACAGATGGAGATTTCCTCTA